TCGGGACTGCTCGTGCGCAGCCGGTGGCTTTCCCCTGCATCCAGTTTTTGCTCTTGATTCAGCATTTTCAGTGAATTGCCAAGGTGTCCGGAGCTTTCAGGAGTCTTGTCCCTAGCAGATCTTTCTGTATGTCCGTGTGTAGTGATTTGTTTTCCGTGCAGAGGCTGTTTACAAGGGAGGCGAATAAGGTCAGGAGGGGAGAGAACGAGGCTAACCGTAACTTAAAGCTGCTACAAAAAACTTCACCCGGGTGCAGAAGGCAGAGGAGGGCTGAGGCTGGGAGACTGCTGGCGTGGGGAAAGGAGCGAGGGTGATTCTGGCTTCGGCCACCACGAGGACGAGGTGTGTTCGGCCTTTCCTTGTGAAAAAAACCCCAGCGCAGGCAGCCGAGAGCCGCGAGCCTGGACTGGGCGCACGGGAGCAGATCTGGGTCTCCTCTGCCGGCTGCGCCGCCGTCCAGAGCTCACAGAGCTTTAGAAATTTGCACAATAGGTGTGACGCCGCAGGGTGAGGCTGGCTTCCTTGTATCCTGCTGGAGGTCCTCGCGAGTGGCAGCGCTCGGCAGCGCGGTGCCGGGAGATGCGGGAGCTCCAGGAGCAAGGCGTTACCCGTGCCGTCACCAGGGGATGCTGACCTGTATTTATCATGACTGTTAATCAGAAAGCTTCATCGCGACGTGTCCAGAGCCCTAAAGCCATTTTGTAAGATAGCAGTATCCCTTTTCTACAGCCTTATTAATGAGTAGAGTATCTTTAAAAGAAAAAAAAAAAAAAAAAAAACGGAAAAAAAAAAAAACAAAACTAGTTCATTTCTTTCTGTGGTATGAAACTCGTGTACTGCGAACATATGAACGTTTAGCAGAAATACAACTTACAGTTTTCTTAAGAAAAACAAACTAAAAAAAAAAAAGACAAAAAAACCTGTCTGCTTTCCATACAGTCTTTCCTCAGGTGCTAAATAAGGGTTCCAAAAATGGATACTGCTTTAGGAGTTTCTGCTTTATTCTTAAAATACATATTTTTTTGCTTAGGTGTTGTAAAGATATTTTAACAAGAATGTTTTTTTTAATGTAAATAAGATTATGCGTCTTTAATTTTGTTGGTTTATCTCCTTTTTGTCTATATTAAATAGTCTAATTTTCATTTTATCCTTTTGAGAAGGACCCTCTCGTGACCTTCCTCGAAGACATTTCATTGAGTGTTGCTGCATTTGAGAATGAATCTACAACTGTTCATGTCTTGGATTAATGCTGCTGCTGCTATAAGTAACCCTGAAAATCAAGAATGTGTGATGCACTTTTTTTACATGACCATGTAGTTCCTCTGAGGATAGCTGAACCCTCCTGTAACACAGCCACTAACTGCGGGGAGCTGGGAGCTGGGGTGTCGGAGAGGGCTGTACCCGATCCTGGTGCTGAATTTCTATGCAAACGCAAGCAAAAGGAGAACTCTTAACTTGAAAGAACACTGTGCTTTTTTCTTTTTTTTCTCTCCTTCCTTTTCTCAAGCTGCTATTGGAAGGGCAGTGCAAATCCCCGAGGTTTCCACCTTCTCCTTCCTCGATGGCTGGCGGTGCGGGAAAGATGCCGGAGTATTTGTGAGGTCAAAAATCTCAATGAGCTATTGTCTCGTCTCCGCTTTCAATATTTTGTTTTCTGTCTGAATAGATCTTTGGAAGGAAATTGCTCATCTCTGGAAAAAAAAAAAAAAAAAAAAACGGAAAAAAAAAATCTTTTTAATGCTTTATCTCAATGTGAAGTTAACCAGCAGTATTAAAAATCGCACGGCCTCCTTCCTGCCTGGCTGCCTCCCCGAGGCTGGCGCCGTGTCCGATGTCCTCCCTGGAGGAAGCCCTGCAGCAGGGTGGCCTGAAGGCGTGTGGCAGGGGAGGAAGGGCCCTGGGGCGCTGCCACGGGGCGTGGGTGGCTCCAGGACCTCTCCTTCCCCATAGGGGACACCCAGGCCACCGGGGCTGGCAGGGGGGTTTGCACACCACGGAGAAAGACAGAATTGACTATCTATAGAAAATCCTTTAAAAAAATCATAGTAAAGTGAGGGAAGGGCTAAAGTGTAGGAAAAAAGCTTTGGGATTACAACTGCCTGGAAAATAGCATATAAATGGGGTAGAGCAGAATTCCCCGCCTGCTTAATTAGTTTATCCAGCATCATCTTTTGGCCAGCGTTTGCTCTTTTACACACGTGCGTGTGTGTCCCTATCCTGAACGTGCCTTGCGCGTGTGCTCGCTCCGTCTGAACAGACCTGGAAGTGGCTCGCGAGCTGTCGGAGAGCTGGGCTGCTCACTCGCAAGTCCCATAACCACAGCGACCATCTCCCATACCCCGTAACCCTGCCCCATCTCCAGCCGGCCCATCGGGTCTGCGGTGCAAACGAGGCTTTGAAGCCAGTCCGGCTAGTGGCTGTCTTACAGTTTGGGGAAAATGTCCTTCAGGATGGCACCTTTCCTTTCCTAACATGACCTGTTTTCTGCGACTTTTCGAGGGGAGTGGGGGTGAGAGAAAGAATCTGCTTTGCTGTTCTCCTGCAGACAGAAATAAGCGTTGCCGTGCTTGGCCTGCAGAGCAAAACCAGGTGAAGGTCCAGAGCCAGCGCCACTGGAACTGGGGGTTCTCTGCAGCAGCCGGGATTCCCATTGCCCAGGGGATTTATTCCCTTCCAGGCTGTGGTTCTTGTTACTGTGGGTTTTTTCATTTTTTTTTTTTTTTTTTGTAAAGGAAAAGTAAACATGCCTTGCTTACAGTTAACGAAGTAGAAATGCTTATGTTTGCAGTCAGTGACTCAGAATATGAAGCTGTGCAATTCTTGTTTCTTCATCTCTCTCTCTCTCCTCGCCCGTCCGTGTGATTTCTGTTAGTCTTTCCGTACTTCTGCCACTGTAAATGTGAAAGCTTGCTTGCATTATTTTTTAGAAATGCATTTTGCACACTCGGGTTTCGCTGAAGCTCCGTGAAAAGGTTAGTTTGAAGCAGATGAATAAAGCTATGCACATGTTTTGAAAGTTTAATTTGTGTCTCATTACCAGAAGTGACTTATCTGCCCTCTTTTGCATTCCTGTGCTGTCATTGCCTACATTATCTTCACCATCTCGGAGGGTATGATGTAAGGTGACAGTTCTTTGCTGACAGCTGTAGCAGAAAACTGGCGCTTCTTGATTTTTTAGTAGCCTCTCTCTCCTTTGCTTTCTCTGTCTCTCTCTCTCTCTCTCTGTATATCTATATAAATATATATATTATTTTTTTATTTTAAAGAGCCTACTTTAGTAATTGGAGGGAGAGGGGTGAGCTGGCTTGTTTCGGATACACTTCGTGCTGTTGGATGAACGAGTGCCCTTCTCTCTCTGCTCGGGAGCACGGGGGCCGTAGCCGCGCCGGTTGCGCTCTCGTGCCGGGCGAAGCAGCTTGGAGGAGGGGCTGGAGATCTGCCCGCCGGGCAGAGCTGGTGGCACGGGCAAACTTGAGGCTTCTAACGGCAAAATAACCGAAGAGAAACCCTACCGTTTTGTATTCCCACTGTGAGCGAGAGGGACAGGCTTCCCTGCTGTCCCGCTGCGGGTGTGTGTGCGCGGGGTGCGTGCGGTTTGTGGCCGCCGGAGCGGAGCAGGGGCTCCCTCCCGGCCTGCGGGGTGAGAGCTTTATTTTGGCTTTGTTTTCCTGAGTTATGTGCGTTGGGTTGCAGGTGCCCCCTTTGAAAACTTGTTGCATAGCCCAGAGCCTTTGTGCAGAGGCGTCTGGATTTTGTGACGGGAGAAGGACCCCGACAGCTTTCTCCCCGTGTTCCCTTCACCATGGCAGAACTTTGTACTAACTTGACAGCTTTTTTTTTCATACAGAACAGGGCTGCTTTTCTATCTACCATCACACGTGTACTTACACACCTTCAGTGGCTCGCAAGCCTCTGGAGGTCCTCAACTTGTTTACTCGGGGGACGGATGCCCCTCTCTCCCCCTCCCCGAATACTTCAGTGTTAATAGCGGTGCGAAACACCACCGCTCGCTTCGACTCCGCGCTGGGCTGGAGAGCTCTCTCCAGGCAGACCCGCAGGAGCAGGGCACGGCTCTCCCGGGCAGGAGCCCTCTCCTCCTGCCCTGCCGATAGTTCTCATTTCCTTCAGTTCCCTGGTGTGTATTAAAATCGCCGCGAGGGGTTGTGCTCTACCTGCTCAGGAGCTGAATTACCTCTGACCTGCGGAGAGGGGCAGCCCCTCTTTGTCGTCGATGTTGTAGTGTGCAACCAGACGAAACAGGAAAGGTCGGTTTTGTTTTCTTCTCCCCTTCCTGGTATTTTTGGAATAGGTTAACGCACTCTGTGTGCCCAGCTGGAAAAGTAGGCGTTTTCCCGATCGTGAGAGGGTGGCTAGAAGAGTTAGTGTAATACCTGCTGTAGCTGTGTCCGGCGCAGCCCGCTGCGCTGGTATGGGTGATGTCACGGACTGTAAGGATAGGTAATGTCCATGAGCTGTAATGGCATGATGTATCTTTACCAATGATGTCATACTTCACACTAAATGTTTAAAAAAAAAAAAAAAAGTTACCTGAATTTTGTTTATTCTGCACCAACAGGTCTTCAAAATTTATCCAAATTTTATTATTTTATCAGGAAAAAAAAAAAAAAAGAAATTTGTGTAGATCGAATACGTTAAGACAGACAATAAGTGATGTAAATTGTTGAATAAAAATTTTAAAGTTTGTGGGCGTCGGTGTGACTTTTTTTTTTGCGTTCTTACGGAGCATCCCCCTGGCCCTGGGGATGCTGCGTGGCTGCTGGCCGGGTGACGCTGCCCATGGAGCACACGCGTGGTTGTGGCTGTGTGTACGTGAGTGCTGGGCACTGCTCGGCCTTGCAGGGCAATGGGGTGAGGTGTCCCGAACCTTCAGGGGGACGGGGAGGGCTGGGAGGAGGAAGGGAGCCCTGCAGGGGCCGGGATGGGGACGCGCGACTCCGATTCCAAGCGCACAACAGCAAACACCCACCAAGCTGGTTTTATCTTTTTCTTTCAGTCACATTTATTGGCAGTTGTGGCAGCTGGTACCGTTTAGGAGTGTTGTTCCATAAAGCAGTTGCAGTACAAGAAGGGGGTGTTATTTTAGGAGGGGAGTATTAGCACCAAAAGGGAGCCGGTGAGCTTTAGAAACCTTGCAAAGATGTGCTCGAGAGTTGGGGGGCCGGGCGTCGGGCAGCTACTGCTGGATGCGCCTGATGGACTGGATCTGGGAGGTCTGGGCGTGCGAGCCCCACTCTCTCCAGTGCTTGTAGTCTCCCCCGTGGTGGTCGGCCTCCAGGACGTACTGGTAGCCGCGGTACCCGGGATACTGGTAGCAAACCCAGCTGGAAGAAACGGAGTCGTCAGGCGGCCGTAAGGGGAACGAGAGGTAAGCAAGGGAGTTACGGGGCGTCCCCCCTCGGGCTGTGGCAGCAGAGCGGTGGCCGTGGTTTGTCCCTGCTGCTCAGCCCAGGCACGTTGGTGCTTGGTGGCCCTTTGCCCGTCACTTACGCGCCGCAGGGGATCTTCATGGAGCCCACTTCGTTGTTGGCCCAGCCCATGGCCTGCAGCGAGGGGTAGTCGTCGCTGATCTCCCACTGGCGGCCGATGAAGTTGTCTTTCTCGAAGACGGTGATCTTGGATTCCTTGTGGTTCTGGGATGGAAGAGCAGCGGGTGAGGGGGAGGCAGTGCGCCCTCCCCAGACACAATTTGGGGCAGCAGCACAGCACAGTTTGGAGGGTTTCCTGGGGGCTGTGTGCGCAGCCCAAGGGATGGAGGCGTTCAGAGCCCCTGGGGCTGGTGTGAAGGTGCTGGGGCAGGGTCAGGGCTTGTCCTGGGAGGCATCAGTAACAGCTGTGCTCTTTTACAGCAGGCACAGAAATTCCCTTTAAAGCTTTAGAAAACAGAAAAGCTACAGCAAATCCTTCTGGGCACCAGGGGAGGAGCTGAGCCCACTCTCAGAGCCTCTGCTGCCTGCAAAGCCCCTGGCACAGCAGTTTTGCCCTTCCTAACCTCAGTCTCTTGGTCTGAGGGTACTGCCTGGGAGCCTTCGCTCTGCCTGGGCTCAGAGATGTGTGAGCTGGGAGCTGCTGTGCAGCCCGCTGCTGCCTCCAGCCCCCTGCCTGGCTCCGTGCTGGGGCAACAGAGGTTGCTGCAGCGCAGACACCCGGGGGGCAGCTCCTGCCCTGCTCGGGGCAATTCCTGCCCTGCCTGGGGCAATTCCTGCCCTGCCTGTGCCTCTGCTGCTGCCGGGACAGGAGGCTGCAGGCAGCCCAGGAGCGGGGGCACTCACGGCAGAGCAGACGGGGCGGAAGGACATCAGGCGCTCGATGTGGTAGGCGTTGCTGCCGCTCCAGGCGTCCCAGCGCGGGTACTCTCCCCTCTCCAGGATGAACTGCTGCCCGCAGAAGCCGGTGTGCTCGTAACCGACCCAGCTGCAAAAACAGAGCAAGGGCTGCCAGGGCTTCCTGCAAGCAGCTCTGGGCATCCTGCTCAGGGCTGGCACCAGGAGGTGGATGTAGGTGCAAGGAGGAGGTTGAGGTCTGGCCTCTGCCCGCAAGCCCGAGTGCTTGGGAGGAGAGGAAACGGTGCTGGATGTGGGCAGAGCACCCGGAGAGGGTGTAACAGCCTGGCTAGTGCCAGAGAGGCGTTCAGCATGGCAACACCAGCATCCCCTGGCTGCTGCAGGAGGTGGGATCCCACCCTCAAGGGGCCCAGCCTGCAAACCTCGGTGGGGATTCGCTTCCCCAGCAGAGCTCTGTGGCTGTCTGCGTGGGCTGGCATCACGTTAGGGTGCCAAAGGACGTCTCCAGCAGGCTGTCCTCTCCCAAACACCTCATTTCTGCCTTACTTCCTAATTACAGCCTGGCACAGCTGGAAAGACCTGAATTCCTCATGCCCAAACCAGGCAGAACCAACCTGGGAGCTGTCGCCTGTGCCCTTTTTGGGTCCCTCTACACTGAAAACAAGGAGGTGAGAGGGATGCCTCCACCCCGCAGGATGCAGTTTGCACACTCACACGAGAGCCTGCCCAGCACCTGCCCCCACCCCGGGCACCCCACAGGGTGCAGATCCCTCCTGGGCACGTCCCCGTACAGGGACTGGGGACGGGACATCCACAGCTGAGGGGAGCAGGGAGGCAGAGACTGGGCTGGGGGCTGGGAGGAGGGAGGCACAGAGCTGTGCATCCTGCAGGCCTGCTTATGGGGTAGAGGGGATGCTGAGGGGCACGCCGAGTGGGGGTTTTGAGGATTTCTTGCCACTGACCAAAACTCAGCCCTGGTCCCATGCCTTGCAGTCAGCCTCCTAGGAAGCAAGGTGAACAGCCTGGCTGGGAACACGTCAAGTGGAGCAGTGAGCTGATTACGGCGCGAGCACGCATGCTGCGGTAATCCCATTAGCATTACAAATCCTAAATATAGCAGTGCAAATCTATCTTGTCTGCTTCCCCAGCCCCAGCGGGATGTTTGCCATGGGGACTGCTCCTTACGCACAGCATCTCGGAGCAGCTCGAGAGCTGTCTTGCCTGTTACAGGAAGGTTCCTGCGTGCAGGGAGAAGCCTGGCTCTGCTCCATACCCTAACAGTGACCGGGGCAGCTCAGCACAGGCTGCAGGAAGGCTCTGCTATGGCCCTAAGGAGCAGGGTTGGGCCCTGGGCTGAGAAATGGGGTTCTTAGGCATGGTGCTTCATGGGGTTACACGGGGGAACGGGGACCAGGCTGAGCTTGTGAGCCAAGAGCCCCTCACTGAGCACTGATCTTTGCTGCATCCTCGGGCATCATCCATGCTGGGCACTGGGGAACAGCAGCACGACTGCTCCCAGACTGCAGGAGGCAGTTTTAGATGATGCCAAAGGTGTTGCTGCTGTCCCCTGGCCCTGTGTCTGTGCTGGTGGTGCCCAGAGCTCGCTGCTCTGCCCTGGCAGGGTGGGATCCCAGTACCTGGCTTCCCCCGGCTGCAGTGCTTGGCTCCAGCTCAGTGGGGTGAGATTTTCCAGCCCTGCACGTGCTCAGGCACCCCTTGCCCTGCCAGCCCCACACCTGGGAAAGCACCCACGCCACGGGCAGCCGGGTACTCACGCGCCACACTCCACCTTTAGGGAGCGGATGTTGTCGAAACCACACTCCATGATGTTTGGACAGGCCGAGGTGAACTCCATCCTCTTGCCCTGGAAACTTTCTTGGTCGTATACGGTGATCTGGAACAGAGAACGAGCTGCCAAGTTGCGAACTGCCCGGCAGTGGCCCCGAAAGAACCAGCAGCTTTTCCAGAGGGTCATGCTCCATCTGGGGAAGAGCCAGCTGGCATCCTTTGGGTTTTGATGCAGAACCACACGCCTTCGTGCATCCCGGTGCTGCTGGCCCCGCAGCGCCCTGCCTGGTGCTGGGGGAGCCGCATGCCAGCTCCACTCTCCTGCTCACCCCTGCGGAGATCAGTCCCAGGGGCAGCGGCACCATCTGGAGCCATTCTGGGACGGGAGGGTGGCAGAGCTGTGGCTGGCATTTCTCCCAGCCTCTGCTCTGAACACTCGAGGGCAAAGAGGATTAATGGGGAAAGGGTGAGGGGGAACTCCCCGGGGGCTGCGGCTGACGCTGTCCTCTCCATGATTTGGCAGGATTTTGTCCCACTTGCACACGTGCTTCTCCTTTCCCTCTCGGTTCCCTCTGCGAACTGGCTTTGTCCTCAGTGCTGTCACCATCCCTGGTGCCCTCAGGGCTGCTCTCCACCTCGCCCTGCCATGCCCAATGCCCCTTTTGCAGCCCTTGTGCCCTGCAGTCCCATGCCCACCCTGCCAGCCTGCCTTCACCCACAGGGGAGGGCAATAAGAGCGTGTGGCTTTGGGGGACTGCGGTAGCTGCCTGGCATGGCACAATTTGTCACAGCAGGGCACGGCCAGGCCAGGGTGCTGCAAAGAGGCTTATGAACCCCCCCGGGGGTGTTTGAGCAGGCAGGAGGCATGCTCCAGTGCCTTGTTTTCTTGGCTCCCCCGGCCTCACTCCCTGCGGTGCAGCTTTTCTGGCTGGGGAGGACCGGCTTCGCCCCCTCCCTGTCTCCCACCACCACACCTGAGAGGCAGCGGGTGCAAGGACGTACCTTCCAGGGGCCCATGGGGACAGGCAGAGGGTTTGTCTGAGCCATCTTTGCTGCTGGGAAGGTATCTGGGGAAGGAAGGAAAAGCAATCGGTGTTGCAGAGCACTGCCACGCATCCCCCTGCCCGCTCACGGGTCTCTCCATGAGATCCTCGCCAGCTGCAGGACGGTGTGGGGGGCACAGAGGTGGCTCAGGAGACACAGACAAAATGGGGTGCCCCATCCTGCCCGCAGCCTGCCCACCACCACCATGGGGCCCCTTCCCTCCTCCCAGCCATGGAACGGAGCCCGTGCACCCATTTCACACCGGGATGCAGCGCTCGGTCCACTTCTTCTTCCCCCAGCCATGGCAAGGAAACCCCAAGACAGTTTGGGGAGCACACTCTGCCCAGTTACTGGAGAGGTCCAAGGGACCCTCTGCTCCCATCCCTACCCTGGTGATGCCTCCCTTGGGCACTCCTTCCTCACATCGGGACAGCCTGAGGTGCCAACAGGGGTGCTGTGCCCCACCAGGCAGGTGCTGGGCACGGAGATACCCCACACCATGGGGGGCTCTCTGCCACCCGCTGTGCCCGAGCTGCCAGTGGGGACGTGTGAGCCCTCCAGGTACCTCTGGCTCCTCTCCTGCCACCGGAGAGGAGCATCCGCACGGCAGCAGCGGGGCGAGAGGGGCTGGGGTGGAGCGGGGCCGGCCCCAGGACTCACCTAGCTCAGGCGGTACTGCTGCTTCGCCCATGTCATGTCTGCCTACTTCAGCGGCCCCGCTTTTATAGGGCGCTGCTGGCCAGGAGCCGCTGCCAGCATTTGCGGAGCCGTCAGCACAATGCTCCGGCTGGCATTGTTCTGCTGATCCCCAGAGATTTCAGCAGCTCATCCCCATGGGCCCGGCCACATTCTTGGGGAAAAAAAAAATAATAATAAAGGAAAAAAAAAAAAAAAATTGATCATAACAAAAATAATCGAGGCGGCTGTTTGCACAGATAATCTTGGGCGTGAATGACTCAACATTTTGGCTCTTCTGGCATTTTCCAGGGGCAATGCACTGCGCCGTCACGGGGCTGGCCTGGCCTGGGTGCAGGTGAGCACGGGGGGGGACAGCGTGGCACCGTCTGGGTGAGCCTCACTCCGCCGGCCATAGAGGGTCCCTGCCTCCACCCCATGTGCTGTGGGGTGGCACAGGGGCTGTGGGGTGGCACAGGGGCTGTGGGGCAGCCACAGCCCCATGGCAGCAAGGGGGCCGTGAGGCTGCTTCTTCCAACATGGTGGGAGCTGTGGGGCCCCCTGCCCACATGTCCCCAGAGCCACACCAGGCCCTTGGTACGGTGCTGGCTCCCTGAGCTCACACAGCACCACCATGGCCTTGGTGGCGAGCCCGTGGGGGTGGCAGGGCCGCCATAGGCCTGGGCGGCACTATAGGCCTTGCGGTAACCATGGCAACCTGGCGCACCTAGGCCTTAAGCCTCACAGTAACCATGGCAACCAGGTCCTGCTCCCCCTTCCCCACAGGGCTCTCTCGGGGCCATGGCAGGGCGGGTGGCGCAGGGTGGGGGATGCAGGCTGTGGGGTGCCATGGTGGGCACGGGCTGTGGGTGCCATGGCGGGCGTAGGCCGAGCCGCCGGGGGTCAGGAGGCGAGCGTGGCGGCGCGGGCTGCTGCCTCAGCGCATGGCTGCCGGCACAAAGCGCCGCCCGCCCGCGTCTGACTGCCCCTTTTGTCCTCGCAGCACAAAACAAAGCGCCCCGTCAGCACGGCCTGCAGCCCGGCCTGGCGCGTGGCCTGCAGGGACCCCGGCAGGGCGGCATGGCCGGGGTGGGGTGTGCGGGGAGATGGGGCAGCCCGGCTTTGGGGTCGTCCTTGGGGATGGGGATGGGGGCATCCTGAATTAAGGGGGTCGGGGTGGTGAAATGGGGGGAAGCAGAGCGCTGCTGAGGTCTGACACTGACACAATGGCTGATTTTGTTGTCACATCCCAGTAAATTCGGGGTGGGGGGCGGCTGCCCTCTGCCCAGCCATTGAGACACAGCCCACAAAGTGTCCCCAGGTGAATCGGGGCACCCTCCCCAGCAGCACGTGAACCCCTCTCAGCACACACATCCTCCAGCGTGCCTTTTGGGGACCCTGCCAGAGGGGCATGGAGGCTTTGCCAGGAGCGTGGTGCCGCTAGAGGGAGAGCTCAGCCCGGCCAGGCAGCGCTGCAGCTGGCGCATGCGGGCGTGCAGCAGTGTGCAGGGGGTGTACGGCACCGCTCACCCCTACACCCACACACAGCCAGTCTGTGAACAGAAAACACCACAAATGGGCCTTGGGCAAAGCCCCGAGCTGGCAGCCAGCACCGGCCACAAGCAGGGTGGGGAAGAAACCCCCCTTATGCACCACCTTGTGTCGGGCATGGCCACAGCGTGGCACCCAGGGGTGCTGCAGGTCCCCCCTGCAGCTCACAGCGAGCCCCTGCTGGGGACAGATCCCCCCGCCGAGGACATGGGAGGATGGGAGCGAGGGCCTGGGGAGCCACCGCTGCTGCCACAGCGCTGTCGGTCCGCGGGCTGTCAGGAACAACTGGTTTTTCTAGATCCCGGAGACTATAAAAAAGCAGTGACCTATTTAGCAAACCCCGTGGCGCTGCGAAGCGGCTGCCTCCCCTCCCAGCCCAACTCGGGGCCCTCGCTGCCGTGGCCAGACGTCTGAGCCTGCCGTGGGCACTCCAAAATGCTGCCAGCACCCGCTGCCCCCCGTAAAGCTGTGGGCAGCACGGGGAGTTTGTAGGGTGTGGGATTTGAGTAAAGCCCCGCACAGCTCCATGCCGAGGGAGGGCTGCTCAAGGCAGGGCTGGTGGGGTCAGACAGGCTCCCGCAGACGTGTGCTGGGCGTTTTGCCATGTGCACAGAGGTGTTCATCATCGGGGAGGTGCACACAAGGCTCCGTGAGCCCCTCGATGCTGCCCTGAGGCTCGGTGGCCCCAACCAACGTCAACTCCAACCGACGTCAGCCCCGCTGCTGCCTGCCCATTGCGATAAGGGAGCAGGAGCTGCCGCAGGCTCTAACTGTCGGCCGGGCTGTGCCGGGAGGCAGGGCACCGAGGTAGAGTAGCATGACACGTCCCCTTGCAGCAGGACAAGCCACCTCAGCCACCGACCCTCCGTCTCGCCCGTCCCCCTTGCCGCTTTCCAGCTGGCCGCGGCTCCCCGCGCTCAGCGCCACGTGCCCAGGACAAAAGGAGAGCACCACAAAAGCAGCAGGCAGCTGCGCTCACGGCTGCCGTCCTCCATCGCTGCAAGGGCTGGGCCTCATCTGCTGCTGGGATCCGGGGCTGGGAGCTGAGGGAGGAACTGGGGGCAGATCCCAGTGCCATGGGTCCCTCTGTCCATGCGGGGCTTTGGGGCAGAGATGAACACTGAATAGTGATTTTGGGACGAGCTTGTGGCTGCCCAACTATGGGGTCCCCATTCCCTAAGCTCTCTCCAGCTTCCCCAGGCTGCCAGCCCTTACCGTGCATGCTGGGGTGCCCCAACGGGGGTTTGCAGCATTTCTGGGCTGTGCCTAACCTTACAGACACACCGCCTGGAGCTGGACACGAGTGGAAGGGGCATAACAAAGGCACTGCGGTGCTTGGTGCTGGTTGCTGATCATGAGCTGTCTCCCATCCGAGGCAGCGGGCATCCTCTGGAGCCATCAGCTTCCTGCACCCAGGGGACAGGTGCCATGGGGAGAAGCACCGGCTATGAAATGGTTCTGCAGGCAGCTCCTCCACCTCCTGCTTTGGATTCTCCAGCTCAGCCCACACCGGTGGATACAGGGATGGTCAGCCTGAAACCCTCCCCTTGCCGGGTGGACTGCCCTTGGTTAGATCCTTACAGCACCAGGGTGCTTTCCATCGCGGGGTGCGATGTGCCACGGGGTGGGGACTGCGTGCGCTGGGGGGCTGCAGGGATGTGCCATAGGATCGCGTTGTGCTGCACTTCCAGGGGGGGTGAGCGTGCTCTGCGTGCACCAGCAGCGTGCGCCAGGCTGTGCAAGAGTGCGCGTGTGTGCTGGGGGTGTTGTGGGGGGGAGTGTGCAACCCAGCTTATGGCCAGGTGGGTGCGTTGCAGGGTGCACCGGGCTGTAAGTGCACTGGGGTGGGTGTGCGTGTGTGCACTGGGGGTGTGTGCAATTTGTGTGTGTGCACCGGGGGTGTGTGTGCAAGCACCAGGGTGTGTGTGTGTGTGCACTGGGGGTGTGTGCACTGGGGGTGTACCTGCACCAGGGGGTGTGTGTGTGCACTGGGGGTGTGCACCAGGCTGTGTGCGCACTGGGGGTGTGCCAGCACCGATGCGTGTGTGCGCGCTGCCTGTGCACCAGGGGCGCGTGCCACCTCCGTGCGTGCGTGCACCGGCTGTGTGCGCGCACCGCGTGTGCGTGCCCGCGTGCACCGGGGCTGCGCGCACCGGGGCGAGCCCCGCATCCCTCGCACCCTCCCGGGGGGGGTCGCAGCACCTCGCCCCCCCCATCGCCCCTCTCCATCCCATCCCATCCCCTCCCGTCCCGGGGCCGCGCCCCGGTGTTGCGGGCGGCGCGCGCAGAGCCGGCAGTGCCCGCCCCGGTACGGAGCCGCCCCCCCCAGCCCCTCCCCGCCCCGCCCCGCGCCGCCGCCGCCGCCGCCGCCGCCACCGGGGCCCGGCCCCGCCGCCGCCGCCGCTGCCTCCAGCGCCGGGGCCCCGCTGCGCCTCCGGGTGAGTGAGCGAGCGCCCGGCACCGGCACCGGGACGAGGCTGCGGCTCCTGCAGCGCGCTCCCCCCCCCTCCCCGGATCCCTTTTTCCCTTCCCTCCCCCCGGTCCGGGCCGCGCCGGTGTGCGTGCGCGCGCGTGCGCGTGCACCCCCCCGCCGGCGTGCACGCGCACGGGGCGCTGTTGTCTTGCGGTGCCCGTGTTTGTGCATCCTCCTCCCCTTTCTTCTTTCCTGACCCCCCCTCCCTTCCCCTGCTGTGCGCTGCGCCCTTGGGTGCCCCCTCCCCGTGCCAAGCCGTGCCGTGCCGCAGCACCCCCGGGGTGCCCCCACCCCGTGCCGGGAGCTGTGCGCGCCCCCCATGGGGGACATTTGGGGGTGTCTCCCTTTTTTTTTTGGGGGGTATTTGGGGACAGGCAGCCTGGTCCTGCTCACATGGGTGTCAGCAGGGAGAAGATGCAGGTCTGGGCCCCCCCGTGCTGCCAGGGAATTGCACTCAAAGTCCATTCACCCGGCTCACCGCTAAGCAGTGGTCCCCTGGCACCTGGGTCACCTTGCTGAGGGTGCTGTGGGATGTCCAAAGGGGTGGTCTTACAGCAAATGAGGGGGGCTGGCAAAGCCCCTGGGTGCTGCGGTGCCTGCCGGTGCGTTAATTTGCCCGGGGAGCAATATATAGAGCGGCGAGGGCTGGGACGCGTGTCCAGAAATAGTGTGGTTTCCAGCCGGCCTCTGAGATGCAAATCGCTTGGTCAACGAGCGCTGGAGCTAAACTTAGGGCAGATGCTGAAAAGCGTGGGCCCACGGCACGCTGGGCGAGTGGCAGCCACCGTTCCCTTGCCTCGGGGGTCCCTTGGAGACGGGGGACCCCCACCCTTGCACCCAGCCCTGGGCAGAGCCAAGCATCACCGCAGCGCCTGCGCCGGCCCTGGACTTTGCCCGCTGACGAGCTGTGGCTCAGCTCTTTGCTGTGGGCTGGGCCCTGCTGGGGGTCACGCTGCAAAACGGGGTCCCAAAACGTTTGGCGGGGCAGGCAGGTGGCTGCTGGCGACCCTTCATGTGGGCAGTGGGGTGAAGCCCCCTTGCAGGGGGTGTCCTGCAGTGGGGGACTTCTCCTTCCCCGCCAGCCGGTTGCTGAATCGCTGCCGTTCCCAGCACAGAGCCCGGCGGGGTCACTGCTCTGCAGCGGTGTTTTGTAACGCTCAGACTGTTTTATTGCCCCGGTTTGGGGCGAGGCGGGCGCTGGGGCGCGCCGGGCACGCACACCCCACAGCCCAGGGTGACGCGTTGAAGCTCTCCCGGCACGGCGACGCGTTTGCCAGCCAGCCGCGTCCTCTGCTGCCGGGTTCCTGCACGGGAGGACCCAAAATCCAGCTTTGGGCAGAGCCTGGTGGCGCTGGAAGGAGTTGTTCTCCTCCTGACGCATCCCAGCGTTGTCCGTAAGGGCAGGCAGAGTGGAGAACTTTGGAAACCCCCTAAATCTTCTGCGGAAATCTTGTGCCGGCGTCCGGTGAGGAGGCGAGGAGCTGTGGCACAGGTCAGCCGCTGCATGGGAACAGCTGGACATCGCTGCCAGCAGCTCCCTGGTCTTCAGGACTGTCCCCAAACCTGGGGCACAGCCGGGGCATGGGGGTCCCAAGGGGGGTGGGTTCCAGCCTCTAGGTCCCACCGCCAGCACCGTGGGGCAGGCAGGGGCCGGCAAACTTGCGCTTCAGGTCCCCGTGTCGGGAGCGCGTCGGACGAGATTGCGTCGCGGGGAGGGAAGGAGTGGCCCCGAGTTTCAGTGAACGCCTTCCTCCCTGCCGGGAAGCTGCGGGGTCACGGGGCTCAGCACCTGCAGCGGGGGAGCCCTTTGGGGGTCTCCGGGGGGTGGCTTTGTGGTCGGTTCCCCTACGGCTGTGACCTTGCGGGTGATGTCCTCTCTGCCCTGACAGCCCGCGTGTCGCAGCAAGCACCTTGCGTGCAACGAGCGAGCGAAGCTGGCGCCCGCGGCCGCCTCTCCCCGCCGTGTGCTGGCTCATGCACGGTGCCACCCCAACATGCCTGGAGCTGGATAATCCCAGGAACGAGCCCGGGCTGAGCCCGGGAGGGTGCACGGGGTGATTCAGGAGCAGGGGAACGCTCAGCGGCCACCCCCTGCTCGCAGCACCCGCCTGCGCCCGGCTTTTTCCAGTGCCTGCATCCCGTTGGCGTCCTTGGGATCACCACGGGGCTTCCTTGGGGACAGGCAGTGACCCCATAAGAGCCAGGGGGAGGCCGGGGGGCTGCGCTTGGCCATGCTGGGGGGCCTCGTGGCTTCCAAAGCTCCTGCCCCTTGTGCACAGTGGCCTTGCGTGGGGTGCGCGTGGCGCTGCTGCGGGCTGGTGCTGCTGGCTGGTTGGCGCTGCTGGCTCATTAGCGATGCAGCTCGTAACGCTCCTTCCCCCTTTTTGTCGAGCATACAAAGGCCCGGAGGGAGCATGTGTGCGGGGGAGAGGAACGGCCGAGGACAAAGAGCGGTGCTGGCCGACGGGCTCTGAAGGGCCTCGTCCCTCAGCAGCACCTGCCCGGCGGGCTGCGCCGGCCGCTCTGCCCGTGGGGTTCCCCGTGGTACCCGGGGAGGGTCCTGGCAGCCCCCAACCCCCTCACTGCCCCATGGTGAGCTGGGGGTGCCTGGCACTGCCCTGGCCAAACCGTGCTGCTCTGGGGATGCCCAAGCAGGTGGGGTCACCGGTGGCACATATCAGCAGGAGGGGTGCCGGTGGTTCCCTCGCTGCCATTGCTGGCACCGAGGCCACGGTGGCACTGCCCTCGTCCCCAGCATGAGGAGAGCTCGGACACGGGGCACAAAGAGCCCTGTGTCCTGCTGGGTGCATCTGGGGGCACGTGGCCCTGCGGGGAGGTGGCACAGGAGGTGGGGATGCTGTGCTGGAGATGAAGCATGGCTCTGCAGGCATGGCACGGCACGGCACAGCATGGCACACAGGCATTTCGGGTGCCCACGGAGCCCCATGCTGCTGGCGTGGGGAACGTGCCCGTCCCCATGGATCCCACAAACCTTTCCCCGCCGAGATGCTCCAGCGCAGATGCTTGGAACGTGGGGACTTTTCCTGTTGTCCTTTGTGCCGAGGTTCAGTTCCTGCGCGGCGCGGCTTCCTGCTCTGTTTATATATAGCTGTCAGTCCGTCCCTCGCTGCTTTTCCACCCAGCTGTTTGATTTTTGAGTTGTTTATCCGCAGCCCAGGCGCACAATGGAGGTCGGTGGGTGGCTGGCAGCCGCGCGGGGAGGCAGCGCTCGCCCCAGGGCCGAGGCTGGGGGTGCCCCGGGGCTGTGTGGGGGGCTCCGGGGGGGTTCAGGCTGTGCGGTGGGGCCCGGGGCTGGCCGTGCCATGGCTTTGCTGCAATCTGGGGCCCTCCCCCTGCGCGGGATGCCCTAATGAAAGAGCGACTGTTCCTGGAGGTCGCCGCAGTGTCACGAGTTCTGCGTCGTCCCGGCTAAAATTAGGCGTTTATCAGCCTTTCGGAGGGATGCGATTTCACAGGTTCCTGTTTGTTAGGGGGGCACTCGGCCAGGGCTGTGTTTGGGGGGCTCCCTCCCCGCTGTCCCCCCTGGGTGGGGACACTGCGCTGCTGTTCCCCGCGGCCCTGCTGGCTTTGCGGTGGCCGAGGCTGGGGCCAGCCCCAGAGAGGCCTCTGTGCCTTCGACAAGGGGCTTTTGAACCAGCAGGCGAGGTGTCTGCGGTGCCGCAGGCTTTATTGCCTGGGGAAACATCCACACCAGCAGAAACCGCTGCAAACATCATGGGCCCTCGGGAAACCTCCCTCCCCTGCCTGCCCGTGCGGCTCCCAAACTGCCTGAGGGGTCTGTGGGGGTCTCTGCTCTCATTTTGGGGCATCCCAGACGTGGCCTGGGCTGGGGGTGGCAGCAGGTGACCCTGTGGGGACACGGGGTCGGTGCTGGCCGTGGTCTGACCGTGTCCGTGTGTCGTTCCGCAGGCAGGCGGCCGTGCCGTGAGCAGCGCCCCCAGCAGCACCCTGCCGCGGGGGCGAGCGCGCCCCGAGCCCCCCTCCACCATGTTCAACCTGATGAAGAAGGACAAAGAGAAGGATGGGGCGCGGAAGGAGAAGAAGGAAAAGAAGGAGAAGAAGGAGCGGATGTCGGCGGCCGAGCTCAAGAGCCTGGAGGAGATGAGCATGCGCAGGGGCTTCTTCAACCTCAACCGCGCCTCCAAGCGGGACTCCAAGGCGCGCCTGGAGATCTCCAACCCCATCCCCATCAAGGTGGCCAGCGGCTCCGACCTGCACCTCACCGACATCGACTCCGACAGCAACCGGGGCAGCGTCATCTTGGACTCGGGCCACCTGAGCACGGCCAGCTCCAGCGACGACCTCAAGGTGGACGACGCCAACTTCAAGGGCTCGGTGCTGCAGCGGGCGGCCAAGTTCGGCTCGCTGGCCAAGCAGAACTCGCAGATGATCGTCAAACGCTTCTCCTTCTCGCAGAAGAGCCGGGACGAGAGCGCCTCGGAGACCTCCACCCCCTCCGAGCACTCGGCAGCCCCCTCCCCGCAGGTGGAGGTGCGCACGCTGGAGGCTCAGCTCGCCAAGCACGGGACGCCCCCGGGACACCCCCGTACCCCTCCTGCCGCCTCCTTTCGAGCCCGGGTGCCGGAGCTGGTGGGCAAGAGATTCCCCGCAGACCTGCGGCTGCCCGCCCTGGTGCCCCCGCAGCCCCCTGTGCCACGGCAGCTGGAGCTGCAGAGGCGCAACACCGGCGATTTTGGCTTCTCCCTGCGCCGCACCACCATGCTGGACCGTGCCCCCGATGGGCAGGTGTACCGGCGCGTCGTGCACTTCGCCGAACCCGGTGCCGGCACCAAGGATTTGGCGCTGGGGCTGGTGCCGGGCGATCGGCTGGTGGAGATCAACGGGAGAAACGTGGAGAGCAAATCCCGGGATGAGATCGTGGAGATGATCCGGCAGTCGGGGGAGACGGTGCAGCTGAAGGTGCAGCCCATCCTGGAGCTGAGCGAGCTGAGCCGCTGCTGGCTGCGGGGCGGCGAGGGGACGCGCCGCGCCACCTGGGATGTGAGTAGCGGCGTCCCTGCCACCCGGCTGGTGCCCCCGGGTTTCTGCCGGCCGCCACCGTCCTCGCGGCGGGTGTTTGGGTTGGCACAGGGCGTGGGAAGCAGCGGGTGTTGCAGCTGCTCCCGGCTGCAGCAAGCGCAGGGAGGAGCGGGCGGCCGTGGCGAGGATGCGGGGGCGATGCCTGCTGCGCTCCAGGAGGCAGGATGCTGCTGAGGAAGGAGTCTGCAGCTGGCTCGTGAGTTCATACTGGTGGGTTTTGACCCCAAAATGCTCAACGTGAGGCTGGTTTTGGCCTTTCTCCTGCTGGAAGGGCTCTGGAAAGGCTCTCCTTTGGAAAGCCTGTGCGTTGACCCAGGTATAAGTGAAGGCAAAGCATCCGTGCCAGCGCTGGGACGCAGCACGATGCCTACCAGCCCCAAAGCCCCCCGTGCCCACCTCCCCCTGCCTCTCCTCCCAGGGAGGAGCGAGGTTTGGCAGGGAAAGGAGCTTGGGGGGAAACTTGTGAAGCTTTGCAGGAGGGGAGTGACAAGATTCCCCTCCTGGCTGTGGCCCCCCGGGCATGGTGGGGGCAGCGCGGCGTGCAGTGCGATGGAGAGACGGAAAGTTTGCAGAGCCCAATGTGCGTGGCTGGTGCTGTATAAATAGAAACTTAATGGCTGCGTGACCCACATCTTCCGTGTGTGCCGCTGGCTCCGCTGACCCTGCCGCGGGCTAACCATCACCCCGGCCAGCTTCCAGCTGGTTCCCTGCATGCTGAGACCCTGCAGAGCTGGGCCTGTCCCCACCGTGTCGCTGGTGGCCGTGGTGTGGGGAAGCTGCTCCTTGAGCTCCCCGAGCAGGTGCCAGTGCTGCAGGGTGGAACTTGCACCGAATCTGGGTGCTGGCTTTCCAGCAGCTCCTCCTTGGAGCCCTGCAGCGTGGCCAGCTCTGGAGAGCTGCTCAGGGCACTGCTGGCTCCAGGACAGCCCCGAGGGACTGGGGCTGGGGGCTGAGGGGCACGGCTGCCTGCCTGTGGCTGCCACTCTTGCTGCAGCACGCCACTGTGGGTGCAGGTGCATGTTTGATGTAAGCACGTAGGGGCTGGTGAGGTGCTTGTGGCACCAAAAACGCAGCGCTGGGGCTGGGGAGGGGAAGGAGGAAATGCCAGTGCCCTTGGAGCAGCCGGGGCTGCGGGGGAGATGCCGCAGCATATGGCCTCGTGGCGGGCGCTGGCAGCGGCTATCTGCTCCCACCGTGCATGGAGAGCACAAGGAGAGCTCTCTGCCCGCCCTCCCTCTGCCTCCCCCATGCCTCTCCGGGTTTCACTTTTCCAAAAAGCCACCAGAAAGCCAAGGGGAGGCTGTCAGGGCTCTGCGGTGGGCGCGCTGTGCTCGGTAACAGCGGCGCCCTTCCCTTTGTGCTGCGACCAGGCCGTGCCCGGCGCTGCGGGGTCAGTGCCTGCAGGGGGTTAAAGCATAAATCATAAATCATGGCAGGAGCAGTTCCTGGAAAGGAGCCGTCCCGTGTGCTGACCACAGACCGCTGCTTATCTTCAGGATATGCAGCGTAACGGGGCGGGCGCCTGGGCTGCAGCCAGCTCCCCACCGCCATCCCCAGCCCTGCCGGCCCCGTGCTCCCTGTCCATTTTCTCTGGCTCGGGGTAGGGGCACCTCTCCACATGAGCTCGTCCTGTGTCCTCGCTGGGGACCCTTGACCCTCAGCAGGGACACGGGGGGACACTCCATGGCTTTGCAGGTGGAGCTGGTGCCAACGGCCTGTGCCGGGGAGCTGGGGCAGGCAGCGGGTGCAGCCGGGGGCCGTGCAAGGTGCCGGCGCGCGCAGGGAGGCCCGGCTCTCCCCCAGGCCCAGCTAAGCTCCCTGGAATGCTTCTGGTCCTAATTTAAATAAAAATGATCCTTTTTGAAACAGGAAATTATAGGCATATTTTGGGCTGTTGCTCTGGGAGCCCCTCCCCGGCTGGAGCAGGGAAGGTGCCGGGGTTTAACCCCTCCACGGAGGGGCCCCCACCGAGCTGCCCCTGTCCCTCTGCCTGTCCCCGAGGTGGGGACACGTGCTGGAGCCAGGAGGCAGAGGGTGCGATGCTTGGGGTGCTCTGGGCAGCCACAACCACTCCGTGAGGTTCATGGGGTCTGGCTGGTGGCACAGCACTTTGATGGGGAGCGGGGGAAAGCCCCACCACATCCCAGCCGCGCTCCCGGCGCTGGGCAGCCGATCTGGCTGGGCTCCACGCTCCTATTTATTTATTTACCCTCGAAATTCCTCGGGCAGGGCCCAGGCATGCGCCGTCCGGCTCTGGTGGGGCAGAAATATTCCAGAAACGCGCCCGACCTCTCCAGCACTTCAGCCAGACCACAGGCATCCGGCGGCCATGCCGGCGCGCCCCGCGTGCCCTGGTTGCCCCGCGCCGGCCTTTGCTCGCCCGCCGGCACCCGGGGCGCACTGGCCGACAGTGCCGCTGGTGCAGCTGGCTGCCAGCTCCTTGCTGCGCCCAGTGTCCCACCTGGGGTGCTGGGACATGGGTGGACGTGGCGGTGGGACGCGTGTGGTCGCCAAACCGGGGCAGTGGGGGAGGTGCCTGGGGGCTGCAGGGTTGGGGCTGTGGGATTTGCAGTGCCCCGATGTGATTCCTCCTTCCAGCACCCTCCGCCACGTCACGGCAGCAATGCCAAGGGCGTTTCAGGCACCTGTCCCCGCTCTGTGCCCCAAGAGAGGCAAGTGGGGAAGGTTTGGGGCTGCATGTGCGGGTCAGAAGGGACAGTGGCCTCAGACAGGGCCGTGTGTGTGTGTCCCCAGGGTGGGCACACCTGGGATCCCTGCCGTGCCCGTGCCCTGCGCTCGCCGCCCTCACCACGCGTCTCCTCGAGGTTTGGGGCAGTTTCTGTGGTGCTGCCGGTGTGCTCCGCTCCCTGCTGCCGGCCCCTTCCCGGCACGCACCGTGTGGGGAGGCCCCGGCCTCACTCGCCCTCGGTGCCGGTCCCGTGCCTCCGGGGAGACCTCGGTGCTCGGAGGGAGCTTTGCAGTGGACGCGGCCATACGGGGGCCGTGACACCGTGCTGGGGGTGGCCGGACTGGCGTGATATAAGCAGGGTGCTGACCCTCATCCCTGTCCCACTGGCACGGTGACAGCCCCCCTGTGCCACCCCCCATGGTGCACAGGGCTCTCCACCCCCGGTAGCATTTCGGGGGGCTGCCACGCTCTTGGCAAAGCAACGCTCTCCGCCGCTCACCCCCAGCAAGCAGCAGCGGGGCCACGGGGAGTGCGGGAGCACCCGACCCCACTCCTCGGCACACAGATCCCGCTCCACAGGGGCGGGCAGTGGGACATGAGGGGGGGCTGGACGCTTCCCCCCCGCGGCGCCAGCCTGCCGCGGGCCCACATCACTTCCTCCGGCGGCGAAGAGGCCCCCGCTGCCCGAGCTTCCCCCCCGTGCGCCCTCCGCCTGCTGCGCGCGCCGCCGGGGCCCTCGCATTCCTCGGCTATTTTTAGGGTGGCCCTATCAGCCCAGCTGTCCCCGCGCCGCCGCGCGCCTCTCCCACCACCCTGAGCCCTGCTCGTCCCACCGGGAACCCCGCTGCCGGCCCCGCGGTAAGGTGGGGACCCCGGCACGGCTGGGGGGGACCCTGAGGGGGACGCGTGGGGGCCACCCCCTTGGTGGGATGGGAGCCGCCGTGGTGGCCGAGGGCTGCTTGTGGCAGGGGACCCTGGTGCTGGTGCCGTGCGGCATGGAGGGGAGGGCACCGGGGGCAGAGGATTTGGGGGCTCCGTGGGCAGGTTTGTGCCCAGACCCCCGTGTCTCGGTGGGTGGGAGGGGGCCTAGGTGCTGGGGATGGGGGGAGCAGGGTGCTGTGCCCCCAAACGGGTGGTTTGGGTGCTCCTCTGCGCCCTTTATTGTCAGGGGTGGTGCTTTGTGGACCCCCCATGGGCAGCGCAGGATTGGCCCCGCTGGGTTTCGGAGACCCCACTGGGTCCCTGCTTGGTCTGCCCGGCTGCTGGCACGGGGTCAGGCTCAGAATAGCCCCCCCGGCGTGCCGAGTGCGTGCCCAGGGCAGAAAATATCCCTTCCCTCACCCCGCAGCTGCTTACTGCAGCGGGCTGGCCCGGCATGGGGGGAAAATTGGGCACAGTGCTGCCGTATGAGCAAAGGGGCTTTTTTTGCACAATGAGTTCTGTGCCTGTCCCCGAGCGGTTCCTACAGGCTCCGTCTGCTCGGAGGCTGCATGGGGCTGGGTCAGCTCAGGGTCCTGAGACCCCCGAGCCTTCCCTCTCACCTCTCCCTCTCTCCCCCAGCCAGGGCTGCGGCTCCATGAGACATCGCCATGGCCTTCTCATCCCGCTTTGCGTTCTGGGAGCAGAAGGGAAGTCTTGCTCGCGTGTGCTCGCACCCCACGGTGCCCACCAGCTCCCCCCCTTTGCCCAGCACGTGTGCCGCATCCAGAGCAGCGCTCCCGGGGGGCCAAAATTCCCCCCTCCGGCACATCAAGTGGCCCTCGAGCTGCCCTCGTGCCACGCTGAGCAAACAGGCAGCCGCCCCGCACCCCGTCACTGCACGGCTGCGGCCACAAATGCACCCACTAACACACTAACCACCTGGCTGGTGCCTCCCCTAACACGGTGTGAACCCCCTCATGCTCGACATCGCCACCCGGGACACCCCGAATTGGCAGTGCTGAGCCCAGAGAGCCGAGCTGGTGCCACCTCCGTGCGCCGTGCCGCCAGGGCTGGCGGCGGGCGGGATCGCTTTCCCCCCCGCGCACCTTGCCTGTTGCTCAGCGCTGTGTTTAGCTCAGCTGTCAGAGCTAAGTTGAGCAACGTGCGAAAAGCCAGAAGCCCGCGCGGGGAGGAGCGAAGGGGCTTTATTTACCAGCCTGCTCACCAGCTGCCAACGCAGCCCCTCCTGCTGCGGGGAGCGGGGCAGCGCCGCGTTTTGGGGTTTGCGGGGCGCGCCTCGGAGCTTCGCCCCCTTTTCTCAGCTGGTGCTGTCCTCGGGCTGGACCGAGGCCTCGTGCTCAGCAGCGGGCTGCAAATTTGGGCTGTTTCACCTGCTCACACAAAGGCTTCCTCCCCCCGAAGCACGGAGAGCGCCAGGCTGCGTGCCTTTCCCCATGGTGCTGCCGGAGCAGGCGGCCGGCACCGAGCCCACCGGGTCGCCGCGTCCCCCCGCGGCGGCTGAAACGCGCCCCTCTTGTTTGTCTGACCCTCAGGTTAAGGACGAGGACAAAGCCTTAGCTGTGAAAAGACCCGGGAAGGAGGACGGGGCTGTAAGTGCTGCAGGGCACGGGGATGGGGGCTCTGTGCTGGGATGGGGCTCGCCCTTGGCTGCGGTGTGGTGGCACCTCCTGAGAGGGTCGTGGGCTCAGCGTCCCCCCTCCTGGAGCTGGTGTAGGGCAGCGTGCGGGGTTCGGGTGGTTTTGGTGGTGGTGGGAGCTGGCACCTAGCCGCAGGGGTGCCCGGCTGTAGGTCACAGCAGTTTTTGCCCCTCTGGCTCACCAGGGCTCGTCCCTGCCCTGCAGAGCCTGGCAGGACGGGGGCTCGGTGCTTGCTCTGAGTGACCGCAGGGAGCTGTAGGATGGTTCAGGGAGGGGACTGGATGTCTGGATGTCTCCAACACGCGTCCTGTGGTGCCTGAAATGTGGCCAGGAGCCGTGCTGGGACCCCAGGCACCAGCCCGAGCTGCCCAGCACAGCCACATCCCGCAGCACGGGGGTTCACAGTGGGCACAGCACCATCAGACCTCCTCTAACCCACCCCTATCTTTGTGGCTGCAGCCAGAGAGCCCGAGCGCCGCGAAGGATGCGGCACCCGCACCCCCAAAACCCGAGCCCCCGAAGAGCCCCGAACCGCCCCCAGGGACCGGGAAGAGCCCGGAGCCGGTGCTGAACGGGGCCGCCAACGGGCCCGAGGGTCCCGCAGCGGGCACCGAGGCGCAGGGGGACGACGGGCAGGGCCTGTCCCGCCGCAGGGTGGTGCGGGTGGTGCGCAAGGTGGTGCGCAAAGTCCTGCCGGGGGAGGATGCCGGCGGTGCCAGGGAGCCAGCGCGAGACGTCAAGTCTCCCGAGCCCGTGCCACCCCCCAGAAAAGAGGAACCAGGTCCCCCCGCGCCCCCACCACCGCCCCCCGCTGTGCCGGCCGCCCCCGCCAAGCCGGAGCCCAAAGACGAGATCTCGGCAGGGCTCAAAACCCTCATGGCCAAGGGCAAAACCAAAGAGCACCGCCCGCGGCTCCGGCTGGGAGACAGGCGAGAGGAGAAGTCCCCCGAGCCCTCGGGGGGCAAAGGAGCCGCTGCACCGGGCTCCCCACCTGCTGTGGGGGACACAAAGCCATCCGTGTCCCCGGGTGCCAAAGCCAAGCCGGAGCCTTTGGCGCAGCCTTCGGGAGGCAAAGCGGAGCCGCCAAAGGCACCCGCCCCCAAGCCCACCGCCCTGGAGAGGCACAAGGTACCGCTGTGTGCACGGCTCTAACCCGGTGTGGGTGTGCGGCACGACCCGCAGGGACGCCTCGTCCCGCGCGGCGGAGCATGGTGTGAGCTCACCAGCATGGTTTGCAGTGGTTTTGGGGCGTTTTTGGGGTGTGTGGTGCCGGGCGGGGGTCACTTTTTGGTGTGGCCGGGTGGCTGTTGGCCACCGCATCATGCTGCCCCTTGTCTCCCCACCCTGCTCGTGTGGAGAAGAAGCAGCAGCCCGGCGAGAAGCGACAGACCCCCGCGAAAACCACCCCGGGACCCCCCCAGCAGGTGCGTGGGAGCAGGGACCCGGGATTTGTGGTGCCAGGAGCCTGCCAGGGCTGTCCAGGGCAGTGCTGGGTGCCTGCGGGTGCCCCAGCACGGGTGCAGGTGGGCAGGGCGCTGTAGGGTCTGCGCAAGGGAGGTGCCCTGCGTGGTGTCCGTGGGCTTCAGGGCCAAAAAAAAAAGCACCCGTGTTGTCCCCCGTGCCGGCGACGTGCCGGTGCCAGCCAGCCCGCTGCTAACGGTGCTCTGCCTCCAGGCTGCCCCCGGCCCCGCTCCCCAGCTGAGCCCGTCGGAGGAGGCGCAGCGCCGGCTGGAGAGGATCTTCACGGCTTCTGTAATTCGGGGAGGGCGGGGGGGAATTTGGTGATTGTGTGTGGCCCGGTGCCCGGTGCTGGATGGGGACGCTGCCCCGTCCACGCTGCGTGCTCTCCCTTGGTGTTTGCACCGCCGCTTGTGGCCGCCAGCCCCGTGGCCCCGCTCTGGGTGCCGCTGGCTGCTGGGTTTGGTGATCGCTGCCCCGAGCAACGTGCGTGGCCGTGGGGAGCTGCGGTGCCCGCAGCGCCGTGCCACGTCCCTGTGTCGGTGTCCCCGCTGCAGCCCGAGCACGGCTGTGCCAGCTGGGGCGATGTCTTGGGGGGTTTTGGCCGTGCCGGGGCCCCGTGGGGCGTCGCGGTGCTGTTGCTGCTCTCTGCCTCTTACCCCTCTTTTCTTTCTCTCCTCCTCCCTCGCTGCTGTCAGCTGGACCCCGCAGCCTCCGCCCCGGCACCCAGCCAGGTACCGTACCCCTGTCCTCAGGAGCTCTCTGCTTCCACTGGCAACCTCCCGCTGTCCTCTGTCTGCCGCTGGGCTGGCGTCTGCGCCCGCGCCTCGTGCTGGAGCGTAAGGCTTTCCCCACCCAGGGCTGCTGCAGAGAGTGGCCAGGGTGGCCCCGCGTCTTCATCGCGCTCCCTCGGTCACAGCAAGCCGAGCCTGCAGGGCACGGCCGGGGCTGGGTGCCTCTCCCCGGGCTCACTTGTTGCAGCTCCGGGCTCCCCGTGGCCGTGCTGCGGCACGTGGTGGAGAGCCAGGCACCCCGGCTGCTGTCAGTGGAGGTGGCAGGAGGACGGTGGCTCTCAGCCTGGCTGGGGAGGGCAGGGGCTTCCAGCGGGCAGGGAAAGGGCAGAGCCAGGCTGAAGGGCCGGTGAGCATCAGGGAGAGGTGGAGGAGGGGGGGCAGTGCCCTGGTTCCCCGCGCGTCCCTGCGCTGGCACTCGCTGGGCATGCACCAGAGTATCCCGGGCGCATGGCACAGCCACCTCCAGCCCCGGGTGCTGTGCCCTCACCCCCAGCCTGCGCTGGGAGCTTGGCCACCCAGCCTCGTGGCCACCTTCCCAGCTCCGTGCATGTCCAGCACCGTGCTGGAGCTGCTGCTGTGCTGGCAGAGCTGTCCCAGCTGCGGTGTCCGCGTGGCCGGGGGCTCCAAGGTGGCCGCGCTTCACCGCACGCTTCCGCTCGCTTCCCCCACCGCTTCCCGTGCTCGCTGCGGGGCAGAGCGTGGCCCTTCTCGCCCTCACGCCCCATCTCTTGGCCTCGATAGGGACAAGTGGACGATGTCCTGGCAGCCCCCTTTGGCCCCGTCCCTGCTGCAGCTCAGGTTTGGCTCCGGGGCTCGCCCTGCTCGCGGGTAGCGGGGACGTCCCCCACGTGCCGGCTGTGCCAGCCCGACCTTACCCACCCCCGTGGGACTGTGCCACCGCTGTGCTGTGTCCTGTGTCCCTGCGTCATGTCCCCGCAGCATGTCCTGTGTCCCTGCAGCATGTCCTGCGTCCCCACAGCACGCCACGTGTCCCTGTGTCCCAGCACGGCTACACGAGTGGCACGGGGGTGCCGTGGGTGCCGGGGCTGCAGTTTGGGGGCGCAGCCCCTCCAGGCTTACCAGGGTTGTGTGTGGTGACTGCATCCCAGGGTCATTGTGGCTTTGTGTCTACCCCCAGCTGTGTCAGGGACAGGGGGGCTCTGCGTCTCCAAACCCTCTGGGGTCTCCGGGGCAGCAGACAAGTTGGGGACACGTTTCGGGAGGGCTCGGGGCTCACGGAAGGTGGCACGGCGCCACCCTCCCTCCAGCCCCACGTCCCCCTGTCTCGCAGGCCAAGACGGAGGAGCAGATAGCTGCCGAGGAGGCTTGGTATGAGACCGACAAAGTGTGGCTGGTGCACAAGGATGGCTTCTCCTTGGGTGAGTTGGGGTCTGGCCAGGCCATGGGGGTGCCCAGCACGGCCCCACTGAGCCCCGCGTGCCCTCGCAGGCAGCCAGCTGCGGCCGGAGGAGGCCAGCGCCCTGCCCGAGGGCAAGGTGAAGGTGAAGCTGGACCACGACGGAGCCGTCCTGGAGGTGGAGGAGGACGACGTGGAGAAGGTAGGGCCGCGGGATGGGGGGCCGCGGGGCGGTGGGGACCCCCGTTCCCCGCCTGACCCCCGGCCCCGCTCCCAGGCGAACCCTCCATCCTGCGACCGCGTGGAGGACCTGGCCAGCCTCCTCTACCTCAACGAGTCCAGCGTCCTGCACACGCTGCGGCAGCGCTACGGCGGCAACCTCATCCACACCTACGCCGGCCCCACCATGGTCGTCATCAACCCGCTGAGCTCCCCCTCCATGTACTCCGAGAAGGTGACACCGGGGTGGGGGGGACGATGGCACACGCTGGTGGCACCGGAGCTGTGGCACCCTTCAGAGGTGCTCCTGCAGGGCCGCAGGGTGCCGAGCGTCCCCCGCTTGTCCCCCCAGGTCATGCACATGTTCAAGGGGTGCCGCAGGGAGGACACGTCCCCGCACATCTACGCCGTGGCCCAGGCTGCGTACCGCAGCATGCTGATGAGCCGCCAGGACCAGGCGGTCGTGCTGCTGGGCGCCAGCGGCAGCGGCAAGACCACCAACTGCCAGCACCTCGTCCAGTACCTCGCCACCATCGCCGGCAGCACCGGCAAGGTCTTCTCCGGTGAGTGCTCGCCTCGGGGCCCCCTGCCACCTCCTCACGCCCCTCGCTTCGCGGTCACGGTGCTGCTCTCTCACTCGTCTCGCCGCGTGCACGCCGCCGGCCACGCGCACCCCACCGCCCCGCTTGTTTCCTCGCAGCGGAGAAGTGGCAGGCTCTCTACACCGTCCTGGAGGCTTTTGGCAATAGCAGCACCAGCATGAACGGCAACGCCACGCGCTTCTCCCAGATCATCTCCCTGGACTTCGACCAGGCTGGGCAGGTGGCGTCCGCCTCCGTACAGGTGAGGGGCCGGGGTGGCCCCCTCGGCGCAGGAGCCGGTCCGTCCCGAGGGCGTTTTCTCCTGCCAGCTCTCCTTTCTAACCCGCTCCTGCCAGCCAGGCCGTGTTCGCAGCCAAGCGTCGAGCTCGTGGCTTTGTTTGCAGCCAGTCGGGGTGATAACAGCAGCCCTTAAAATGCAACAGAGCCACTTCGTGCTCCAGTGCACCTGCTGATCGAGCCCTGCGCCCCCAGGAGAGATGCTCAGGGTTTGCGTGGGTGTTTGCCTTACTGCAGCAGGGCCAGGAGACCTCCACGTCTCCTTGGGAGCCCAGGGAAAAGGATCCTGGGCTGGCAGCAAGGATGAGGCTGGGGCTGGGGGGTCTTGGTGGGAGCTTGGCCCTCGAGGATGGTTCCCAACCCCCCTGACCTCTCCCAGACGCTGCTGCTGGAGAAGCTGCGTGTCGCCCGGCGCCCTGCCAACGAGGCCACCTTCAACGTCTTCTACTACCTGCTGGCCTGCCCAGACAGCGCCCTGCGGTGAGCCTGGCCCCAGCACGGGGGTCTCTGGGGTCTCCCGGCACCTCGGGGACCAACCTGGGTGGTGTTTCCCCCAACAGGACTGAGCTCCACTTCAACCACTTGGCGGAGAACAACGTCTTCGGCATCGTGCCCCTCGCCAAGGTCCTGCCTGCTGCGGGGCTGGGCAGGGGGCTGCAGTGGGGTGGGGGCTTGGGGAAGGAGATGGGAGAGCCAGGGTGGCCCTGTCCCTGCGGGCAGGGGGACTTCTGCTGGTCCCCAGCCCCTCTGGGTGCTCGTGGCCTGGCCAGAGGCACCGGGAGCCGTCACCCTGTGCCAATGGCTCCCGTTGCTCTCCGCAGCCCGAGGAGAAGCAGAAGGCAGCCCAGCAGTTCAACAAGCTGCAGGCTGCCATGAAGGTGATGGGCATCTCCGGCGATGAGCAGAAAGCCTTCTGGCTCGTCCTGGGGGCCATTTGTCACCTGGGGGCCGCCGGAGCCACCAAAGGTAACGGGGCTGGGACGCGTTAAGCTGAGCTCAGGTCTGCTGGCTGGTTGGGGTCCAGATTGATGCTGTCACCTCTGCGCCTTGCAGACAGGCTCCGGGGGTGTTTTGGGGTTGTGCAAGCTGACGGGCAGTGCTCTGGGTGCTCCGTGACACCTGGATTTGTCCCCTTGGTCGGGGCGAGCCGGGTAGCTCCCAGCCAGCAGGGATCAAACACCCCGGGCACCACCAGAGCGAGTCCCTGGCACCGTCCCTGTCACATCGGGGAGTTTTGGGGCTGGGGATGAGGGAGCGTGGGGGGCGCACACGTGTCGTCCCCCCCACCTAACGCCGTTCCCTCCCCTGTCCTCCCACAGAGCCACTGGCAGATGGAGCTGGTAATTGGAGCCACGCAGGGCTCTGCTCCGGGCTTGGTGGTGGTCTGGGGGCTAAGAAGGGGCTTGGGGTGCTGCTGGTGTGCTGGGAGCAGCCCCGGGCTGGGCTCTGGTAGCCCTGGGGTTACCTCTTGGCACCCCAGCATGGGAGTGCACCGTGGGCTCGCCCTGATGGCACTGGTTCACCTCTCCACTGCTGGGGGGCTCAGGGTGCCTCTGCAGCTGCTCTTCTCCCCGCTGGGGGTCTTGTGTTACCCCCGAGGTGCTGGAAGCCCCCTCTGCTGCCTGCCCTGGGCTCTGCATGCTCGCAGGAGGCTTGGATCGAGGGGTTCAGCAGCTTGGGGGAGGGAATCGAGATGGAAATGGGCAGAGAGCCCCATTTGTGCTGCGTTTTGGAGCGGGTTTTGGGTGCTCGGCGGGCACAGCGTGCTCCCAGGGGCGCTTTGAGGCACTAGAGGGCAGCAGGGCCCCGCTGCAGCACCGCTGCAGGGACGCACGGCTGGTGCGGGAGCCTCTGTGAGGGGCTGGGGGATCCCCAAATCCTGCTCAGGGGGAGCATCCCCAAATCCTGCCTTCTGGGGGGGGGAGCATCCCAGCCCAACTCCTGCTCCCGGTGCCTTCCCTGCATCTCTGGGGATGCTCAGCACCAGCTCGGCTGCCCCAGCCCCCTTTTTTCTGGGGCTGGATCTGGGCAGATGGTACCCATGGTGCTTGCTGTGGGGCAGGGGCAGACCCCACAGCGGGTCTCAGCATCTCACATCTCGCCGTGGCGGTGCTCAGGGGGTCGGGGGGGGGTTAGGAACCAGGTTCGGTGCATGTGGGGTTTTGGCAGGAGGGCGTCCCCGCGTCGCGTGCCCGCGCTGCCGCGTGCCGGTGTTGCTAACCCCTGTCTCTGTTCGCATGGTGCATGCTGCCCTTTTGCAATGCAGACGCCGACGAAGGTAAAGTCCTGTTCTCCGCGCGGCTCTGGCTTCCCTGTCCCGTCCCATCCTCGTGTGTCCCCCCCTCCGTGTCCCCATTAACCCGCTCCCACCTCCCTTCCCCGCCCCGTGTCCGTGTGTCCGTGTCTGGCAGCCGCGGTCTGTCCATGTCAGAGCGGGGGGCAGTGATGGAGAGGGGTGTCCCCATCTCCCAGCATGGCTCAGCCTTGCAGGGAGGCGAAGCCACTTACCCCCCATCTCCTTGAATCGAGCCCCAAAATTTTCCTCTTGGTGCTGGCCACGTGCAAGCCCCGGGTTCCCGCTGCGCCAGCCGTAGCACAGCATCCCCGCCTCGGGGTTGGCTTTTGTGTGCCACCCCTGTCCCCATCCCACCGTGGGGGACCCAGTGACCAGCCGGGGTGCACCAGGAGAGCCCCAAACGTGGGACAGCCGGCGCTGAGCCTCCTTTTTTCCCCCCTCAGCCGGGAGGAAGCAGTTTGCGCGGCACGAGTGGGCTCAGAAAGCCGCCTACCTGCTGGGCTGCAGCCTGGAGGAGCTCTCCTCCTCCATCTTCAAGCACCAGCCCAAGGGCACGCTGCAGCGCTCCACCTCCTTCCGACAGGGCCCCGAGGAGCAGGGCATGGGCGATGGCACAGGTAGGGCGCGGGGAGGCGCGGGTGGCCCCCAGGGGGGACGCCTGGTTGGGGACACTCAGGGCGCAGCCGTCCCCTCCGCCAGGTCCCAAGCTGACGGCGCTGGAGTGCCTGGAGGGCATGGCCTCGGGATTGTACTCGGAGCTCTTCACCCTCCTCATCTCCCTCCTCAACAGGTACACGACGGGATTTGGGGTGGGGGGTGCCGGGGGAGGTCGGTCAGCACCCACCCACCCCGCTTGTGTCCCCCGCAGGGCGCTCAAGTCCAGCCAGCACTCAGTGTGCTCGGTGACGGTGGTGGACACCCCCGGGGCGCAGAACCCCGAGGTGGCGGGGCAGAGCCGCGGGGCCACCTTCGAGGAGCTGTGCCACAACTACGCCCAGGAGCGCCTGCAGCTCCTCTTCCACCAGCGCACCTTCGCCCAGGAGCTGGAGCGCTACAAGGAGGTAGCGGGGACGCCCCCGGGGGCACTGTCACCCCCTCCTCTCTCCTTTCTGCTCCAGCATCTCCTGTGACCCCCCCCCCTGCTCCCCAAATTTCTTAACAAGTGGTCGCTCAGGACCGGGTCCAACCCAATCAGCTCTGACACCGCGCTCTCTGCTTCAGGGGTCTCGGGGGGGGTTCCCACCGCCGATGGTGCCGGCAAATGTGCCCTGGGGGGGGCTGCTGCGGGTGGTGGGAGGGCGACGGTGGCCGCTGCTCCATCTCGGCACCACCTGGGTGCCCACGGGGACCCTTTTCGGTGTCCTGACCGCCCTCGGCACCTCTCCCTGGAGCAGCGGGGCGGTGGGACACCCAGGAAACCCCCATCTCCTGTCTAGATCCGATTGAGACTAACGTACTGACCGGCCCGCGGGGGCCCTAACGCTGATCTCCAGTCACACAGGCACTAATCGCTCCTCTGTCCGTCCTCTCCAGGAAAACATAGAGCTTGCACTGGCTGACACAGAGCCCGCTACCTGGGGCTCTGTAGCCACTGTAGACCAGCCCTCACACCAGGCACTGGTAAGCACCCACGGCGCTTCCTCGCGGCCTCCGTCCCGGCCGTGACCCAGCTCCTCTGCGGCCACCTCCGTCCCCAAAACCCGCTCCCGCAGCACGGAGGAGGGCTGGGACAGCGGGGCTGGAGGCGGCTGCTGCTGCTCCACCTCGTAGCCGAGCGGCTGCTGGCGGCCCCGCGATCCATTACGGCGGGTTATTGAGCATTAGGCGCGGCGATAGCATCGGCCGTGCTGCTTTGCTGTCCTTTTAGCGGTAATTATGGGGAAGGAAAGGTGATTTCCTAAGTGCTTGGCAATGAGAGCGTGACTGAGCGTGCGAGCAGCGGGCAGCCCTGGTGCATCCCCGGCACCGTGCTCTCCGGTGCCTCCGGGAGGGGAGGATGAGGGCAGGATGGCCCTGGGGCGATCCTTGGCATGTTCTGGTCCCCGGGGTGCTTTGATCCCCAAGGTACTTTGATCCCTGGGGTGCTTTGATCCCTGGGATGCTCCGCTCTGCAGGGTGCACCCATCCTTGGGGTGCCCTGGTCCTTGGGGTGCTCCGTTCCCTGCTGGACGAGGCTTTCAGAGACTGAGTGTGGCTGCTGGCGCTGGCCCCAGCACCGGGTTTGATCCCAGGGGTGCCAGAGCGCAGCGTTTGGCTCGCCACCGAGCTTGGCGCGTTACGTTTGCCTCTTTCCCTGCCAGGTACCCATTAAGCAGGGGCCGTTTCGCGCGGCGCCGCTTTGCCGTGCTGCTGGCAGCAGAGGAGGTTGCATGCTCCCCACGTCTCCCCCGGTCCCCCCCCCAGTCCCTGCTCACCTCCAGGTCCCGGTACCAACGCGGTGTCACCCACAGGTCCGCTCGCTGGCCCGCACCGACGAGGCACGGGGGCTGCTGTGGCTGCTGGAGGAGGAGGCGCTGCAGCCGGGCGGCAGCGAGGACACCTTGCTGGAGCGGCTCTTCGCCTACTACGGTCCCCAGGAGGGGGGCAAGAAAGGTCTGGGGGGGCGACCGGCACCATGTGGCTGCGCCGGCTGAGCCGGCTGCGGTGCCCGTGCCCAGCGGTGCCGTGTCTCCCCGCAGGGCACGACCCGCTGCTCCCCAGCGACAAGCCCCGGCACTTCTTCCTGGGCCACAGCTCGGGGACCAACTGGGTGGAGTACGATGCCACGGGCTGGCTCAACCACGTCAAGCACAACCCGGCCACCCAAAACGCCTCCGTCCTGCTGCAGGAGTCGCAGAAGTGAGTGGGGTCCCCCGGGCTTGGGGAAGGAGCTTGGGAAGAGGGGTGATTTTGGGGGTGACGTCCCCTCCGTGCCCCGCAGGAAGGTCATCAGCAGCCTGTTCGCGGGCCGGGGCGGGTCGGCGCTGGTGCTATCGGGCTCAGTGGCGGGGCTGGAGGGGGGCTCGCAGCTGGCCCTGCGCCGCGCCACCAGCATGCGCAAGACCTTCACCACCGGTGTGGCCGCCGTCAAAAAGAAGTCGCTGTGCATCCAGATCAAGCTGCAAGTGGTGAGTGGGGGGCCCTCAGGATGATTGGGGGGGCTCCCAGCACCCTGCTTTGGCACGATGGCACGGGTGTGTGTCCCCGGGTCCGGCTGGGGCACTGCCCCGTGTCACCTCTCCCCCGTCCCCGCAGGATGCGCTCATCGACAGCATCAAGAAGTCCAAGCTGCACTTCGTGCACTGCTTCCTGCCCAAGGCGGCGGGGGGCGGCGGGGACCCCCGGGGGCTGCCGTGCCGGCGGGTGAGCGGCAGCGAGCTGGAGCTGCCGGCTGAGCACTGCGAGGCTGCGGGGCTGATGCAGCTCGACGTGCCCCTGCCTGCGCGCCCAGCTCCGCGGCTCCCGCCTGCTGGACGCCCTCCGCATGTACCGCCAAGGTGAGCCCCCCCCCAGTCCAAAATTCGTGTCCGATCCTTACCACCCACGGGCGTGGCAGGAGGGGAGCAAATCCCCCATCTGCAGCGCGGGGCCCCACGGGGAACCCCTTTGGCACGCGTCCTCGCGCAGAGCCCGGCTGCTGCCAGCTTTTCCCGTCCCGGGGGGGCTGGCCCTGCTCCCCCCGCGGGGCTGTTGTCACTTCGGGGCTCGGTGCCGGGGACAGGCATGGCCTTACTTGGGTGTCTGCGCCGGTGCTGCCCGGCTGCTGGCAGCGATCCCGCTGGCAGCCGGCCCTGATCCCGACGGGGAGGGGGGCTCCGGGTCGCGCTCAGCCAAGTGCTGGGGGATGCGGCCGCCGAGCCCGGGTTTAGTGCCTCGGGGCCAGACCCTTCCTGCAGCCTTTGGAAATCGATGCTGGGCGCACACCTCCCCGCAGCGATGAACATGACCCCCCCCAGGCTGTGGAGGGGTCAGCCTCTCCATCAGCACCCCCCTCGTTAATTAAGATGGGGAGGCTCGGCAATTAACTGCGGCTCAGGCCGGACCCGTAGCGGGGCCCGCCTGCTTGCACGGGTGACACACGTGTCCCTGCTCTCCCCTGGGGCAGCAATCTGGCTGCTTTCACCCCACATCTTGGCTGAAATTATTAAACAACAAGGCCAAGGAAAACCTCCAGCAGCCGTCCTGGGTGGCCCCGTTGAATCTCCCAAAAGACAGGGGAGGGGGCAGCGTGCGTGCGGGGGCACGGGGCTGTCCCCGGCCGTCCCCCAGGCATCCTGGCTGCCCCACGGACCCCCCTATCCTCTGCTCCCCCCCAGGCTACCCCGACCACATGGTGTTCGCCGAGTTCAGGCGGCGCTTTGACGTCCTGGCCCCGCACCTGACCAAGAAGCACGGGCGCAACTACATCGTGGTGGACGAGAAGCGGGTACGCGTGCCCGGCACCCCTTGGGGTCCTGTGCCCTGGGGTCCTGCACCCTGTCCCTGACCCCTCTCCCTCCCCACAGGCAGTGGAGGAGCTCCTGGAGTCGCTGGACCTGGAGAAGAGCAGCTACCACATGGGCTTGAGCCGGGTAGGACCCCGCTGGGGCCGTCCCTGCCCGCTGCAGGCTTCGGGGTCTGGCTGAGGGCAGGGTGGGCGCAGCGGCACAAGGGCAGCAGTGTGCGCTCCCACCCACGCCATTCCTCACGCCTTGGGAATAAAAACCCCACACAGGACGGGGCCAGGGGGCTGGGGAAGGGCGAGGACGTGGTGGGGACAAGGGGACACAAGTGGCACATCCCCACCGGCCAGCACAGCGGGATGGTGGCACCGCATCTCCCCCCTTTTCTTTTTTTCCCCCCTCCCGCAGGTGTTTTTCCGGGCGGGCTCGCTGGCCAGGCTGGAGGAGCAGCGGGACGCGCAGACGAGCAGGAACATCACCCTGTTCCAGGCGGCGTGCAGGGGCTTCCTGGCACGGCAGCTCTTCAAGAAGAGGAAGGTTCGTGGCGCCTCTCCCCTCCCCGCTCCGCTGCACAATTTCGCCTAAAATGGGCAGCGCAGCTTTTCTGCCGCCGCCTGGCCCAGCGCCTCCTCCTCCCGCCTCTCTCTCCCCCTCCCCGGGAGCCGTGGGGAGCCGTGGGGAGCCGTGGGGCCAGCCCCGGGGCCGTCGGCTCCGTCCTGCCCCGCCGGGCTGCCGGGATGAAGCGGCTGTGCCAGCTCCTGCTTTTTATTATTAAGGAGCGCGTAAAATAGGCACCGCGGCGGCGCCTCGCCTGCAGGCGAGGTTAGCTCGTGCGGGTGCCGGAGGTAATCGGACAGCAGATAAGCCAGGAGCAATTAGCCCACATGCTAATGAAGGGGAGTGTGCCGGGGTGGCGGTGGGGGTGCTGAGCACCCGTGCGTCCTGCTGGGCCGGCGGCGCCCCGCGGCAGCCGTGCCGACGCCGTGTGCCCCGTGCAGATCCAGGATTTGGCCATCCGCTGCGTGCAGAAGAACATCAAGAAGAACAAGGGGGTGAAAGACTGGCCCTGGTGGAAGCTCTTCACCACCGTGCGGCCCCTCATCGAGGTGCAGCTCACCGAGGACCAGATCCGGGGCAAAGACGTGGGTACCGCTGCGCCGGGGGGGGGGCGGGGATGGGGCAGGATGGGTCTGGGTGCGCGTTGGAGACGGGCAGGGACCCTCAGAGGGGTGAGCTGCGGGATCCCACAGAGGGTGGGCTGCGGGGTCACTGCTGCCCTGTGCCCCCCAGCACGAATTGCTCCCTAATTTGCCAAGCAGCATGTTGTTAGCATCCCGAGAGCCCGGTTACAAGGCGTGGAGAATGGAAACGAAACCGGGCACCGTGCGCGGGGGGCTCTGCACGGTGCAGGCAACCGGACACCGTGCCCCCCCGCCTGGCACCGGGCCGCTGCCGGCTCAGCTTTCACCTCGGGTGCCCGGGGTGGGGGCTCTGAGGTCCCCTCCCGTCCCCCCCAGCCTGCCTGCTGGCACCAGGGGACAAGGGAGAGAGCGATGCACTCGCAGCTGGCAGGCAGCACGGAGCCCTGTGCTGGTTGGGCATCCCCCCAGGATCCCCTCCCTCTCCGCCTGGGCTGGGTGCCCTAAACCCTTTGGGTGCTGAGAGGGGAGGAGGAGAGCGGCTTTGTTTGCTCCCACCCCTTTTCCGGGGGGGGGTGCAGGGACCCCCCTCTCTGCCGGAGGCCAACTTTGCGTGGCCTCCGGGTGTTTCGGCACCATTTATGGGGTTGGAGTTGGCCGCCGGAGCCAGCGCAGGCTGGGGAAAGTCCCTGCCCAGCCCTTGGCAGGGGAGAGCCCCCGCATCCGCCAGCGCCTCCCAGCCCCGGGGAGCCCCCACCCGGCCCTCCCCGTGCCGAGGGGGAGGGTGCTGGGGGTGCAGAGCATCGTGCCTGCCAGCCCCTTCCCTCGGCGCCTGCCCCCTCCCTCACCGCCCGCCGCTGTGTTGCAGGAAGAGATCCAGCAGCTCAAGAGCAAGCTCGAGAAGGTGGAGAAGGAGCGCAACGAGCTGCGGCTCAACAGCGACCGCCTGGAGAGCAGGGTAGGTCCCAGCCGGCCCTGGGTGGGCTCAGCGCGTCCCCAAACCCCGGTGCCTGTCCCCTCACCACCACCACCACCACCACGTCCCCGCTGCCCCCAGATCACGGAGCTGACGTCGGAGCTGACGGACGAGCGCAACACGGGCGAGTCGGCCTCCCAGCTGCTGGACGCCGAGACGGCCGAGAGGCTCCGGGCCGAGAAGGAGATGAAGGACCTGCAGGTAACCCACCGAAGCCTCTGCCCGGCCCCTGTGGCACCTCCCCAGGTCCCCGTGGGGCTCACCGGGGCCGTGTCCCCTGGCAGGCCAAGTACGATGCCCTGAAGAAGCAGATGGAGTCCATGGAGATGGAGGTGATGGAAGCTCGGCTCATCCGGGCAGCCGAGCTCAACGGCGAGCTGGACGACGATGATTCAGGTACCGTGGCACAGCAGGCACCCAAAACCTCGGGTCCACCCCAGGATGCCCCTCCCGGAGTGTCGCCCACCACAGCCCCCCGGTGCCCCCCGCACAGGAGGCGAGTGGCGGCTGAAATATGAGCGGGCGGTGCGGGAGATCGACTTCACCAAGAAGCGGCTGCAGCAGGAGCTGGAGGACAAGCTGGAGGTGGAGCAGCAAAGCAAGAGGCAGCTGGAGAGGAGGGTGAGTGCAGCTCTGCCCCGAGACCCCCCCCCTTCCCCAATTTTTTACCCCCTCCTGCCCACCCCACGGCCCTGAGCACCCTGCCTGCCCCTGCGCGCAGCTGGCGGACCTGCAGGCGGACAGCGAGGAGGGCCAGCGGGCGCTGCAGCAGCTGAAAAAGAAGTGCCAGCGCCTGGCGTCCGAGCTGCAGGACACCAAGCTGCACCTGGAGGGCCAGCAGGGACGCAACCACGACCTGGAGAAGAAGCAGCGGAGGTGGGGTGGCGCGGGGACGGGGACGGGGTGGTGGCACCCCCCGCCGGGTGGCTCTGGGAGCCTCTCGCAGCGTGGTTTTACCATTTTAGCTGGGATTTGGGCACTTCACCAGCTCCCGCTTGGGCGAGGCGCTTTGCACGGGGAAGATGAGGCTCCCTTTTCCCTGGGTTGTGGTGTGGGGGGTGCTCGGGGCTGGGGAGCCCCTTCCCCACGTGGGGGACCCCGCTGCCCCCCCAGGGATCCGGGGCTGAGCGAGCCCCCAAGTGGGGCTGTGCCCTGTGGCTCTGCTCCGCGCCCGCTCTCTTCCCGTCTCCTCTCCCAGCCCCAAAGTTTGCTAACGTTATTAAGCAGCAGGGACGCTTTCATCTCATTATGGTAATGATCACACACACAAATACAGCGAGAGAATCCAATCTAATTAATTTCAATTTCCGCGGATTGGAGTCTGTGTTAATGCAGCTGTTTATTACCCAGCGCGAAGAAAAATGGGGATTAGCTGCCGGGGTGTGTAACACAGGTCACAAACCCGAGCGCAGGGTTATTTTCCAAGCCCCAGAGGCAGCGATTTCAGAGCAAACCCCTCTGATCCTCTCTTGGGGGCATTGGGAGGGGCTGAGCGCTGCCACGCCGGGGGCTCACGTCCCTGTGGCTACCCGGGGATGGGACCAGGGAGCCGAGGCACTGCAAGAGCCCCTCTCTGCTGAAGACCCCTGTGCGTTGTAGCCCCTCTGCGTCCTGCTTCAAGCAGCCATCCCCACGTAGCCAAGCCCCCACCAGCAGCCACAGTCCCACTGGCACACGACAGCCCCATGGGGAGGCTGCTCGGGTGCGCACCGCAAGCGCCACGCTCCCGAGGAGCCGTTGGGTGAAGGTGCTGGGAGGATTTGCTCCGAGCATCTCCTTGCTGGAGACAAAAGGGCTCGTAACCAGCACGGCCAGCAGCGATGCCAGGTGGAGCAGGGCTGGTGGGGGCACGGGGCGCTGAGCTCGCCGCGCTCTCGCCGCGCAGATTCGACGGCGAGCTCTCGCAGGCGCACGAGGAGGCGCAGCGGGAGAGGCTGCAGCGGGAGAAGCTGAGCCGCGAGAAGGACGTGCTGGTGGCCGAGGTCTTCGGCCTCAAGCAGCTGCTGGAGGTGAGAGGCACCCGGCACCTCGCTGCTTGCCACACCGGGCACCCCCAAAATCTCCCCCGGCTCACCGCCGCTCCCCGTCCCCGCAGGATAAGGACTCGGACATCGCCGGGCTGACGCAGCGGGCAGAGGCGCTGGAGGCCGAGCTGCAGGACATCTCCTGCCAGGAATCGAAGGACGAGGCGTCCCTCGCCAAGGTGAAGAAGCAGCTGCGGGACCTGGAAGCCAAGGTGAAGGACCAGGAGGAGGAACTGGACGAGCAGGCTGGCACCATCCAGATGCTGGAGCAGGTACGGCGGGGAGGGGCGAGGGCTCGGCCGCCCCGCGTGCGCGTGGGTTTCTGGGCGGGGTGGTTTCGTGCAGGGCTGTCATTACCTGGGCCGGGCTTGCCCGGGGAGCGGAGGCGACCGCCCTCACCCCGGCGTCAGGCCAGGCTACGGCTGCGGACGCAGCTCCCGGCCCTTGGCGCCGCCACCATGGCACGGCAGGTCACCACGGGGCGGGCGGCGCGGTCGGCCGAGGAGCAGGGGGTTTACTGGGTGAGCAGGGCAGCGGTGTGGGGGCGTCCCCGTGTCCCCTTGGCTCTTACCACCCCCCCTTCTCTCCCCTTTTTTCCAGGCCAAGCTGCGGCTCGAGATGGAGATGGAGCGGCTGCGGCAGACCCACGCCAAGGAGGTGGAGAGCCGCGACGAGGAGGTGGAGGAGATTCGGCAGTCGTGCCAGAAGAAGGTAGGGCTTGGCCACGGCCCCGCTGCCCAAAGGGGAGGCTGGGATGCTTCCCGTGCCCCAGCTGGGTGCCGGGGAGGTGCTGGGGACACCATCACACAACGCCCGGCTCCCACGCGCCCGCTGCCCGGCTCCAGCAGGCTTGGCAGGTCCAACCGGTCCCGCTCACACGCCGGGCACCTCGCCGCCCATTGCGCAAACGGGTGCTCACCGTGTCCAGCCCGAGGGGTCACCCCCTGTCCCCGGGGCACGTGGCACACATTTGGGGGGTTGTCCCCATCCCTGTCCCCCCTGACCGGGCTCCCCGGGCTCTCCGCAGCTGAAGCAGATGGAGGTGCAGCTGGAGGAGGAGTACGAGGACAAGCAGAAGGTGCTGAGAGAGAAGCGGGAGCTGGAGAGCAAATTATCGGCCGTCAGCGACCAGGTAGGGCATGGGGACACCCAGGTGCCGTGGGGGGGTCACCACAGCACGGTGCCTGGCACGGCTTTCCCTCTGCAGGCCAACCAGAGGGACTTCGAGACGGAGAAGCGCCTGCGCCGCGACCTGAAGAGGACGAAGGCGCTGCTGGCCGACGCGCAGATCATGCTGGACCACCTGAAAAACAACGCGCCCAGCAAGAGGGAGATCGCCCAGCTCAAGAACCAGGTGGGTCCGGGCTGGCCGCCCCTACAGCGTGTCCCCCGAGGGGCTGGGGGTGTCCCCGTGCCCCCAGGCCGGGTGCTGAGCCGTGTCCCCGCAGCTCGAGGAGTCCGAGTTCACCTGCGCGGCCGCCGTCAAGGCCCGCAAGTCCATGGAGGTGGAGATTGAAGACCTCCACCTTCAGATCGATGACCTCTCCAAAGCCAAGGCAGCCGTAAGTGATTTCGGGGTGCGCCGTGCCGCGGTGGGGACGTGCCCCCAGGGGGAGACCCCTTCCCCATGCCAGCAGAATGAGCCTACACCCTCTGGGGTTTTTTTGGGGGAGTCCCTGCTGCGTTCCAGGGTGGGTGCCCCCTCCCCAGGGGCTCGGCCAGGTGTAGGGGGGCAGGAGGCACAGCGGGAGGTGCCGTTTTTCCCCCCAGCTGGAAGAGCAGCTGAGCAGGCTGCAGCGGGAGAAGAACGAGGTGCAGAGTCGCCTGGAGGAGGACCAGGAGGACATGAACGAGCTGATGAAGAAGCACAAGGCGGCGGTGGCCCAGGTGAGGGGGAACCCCCGCACCCCATAACACCCATCCCCTGCCGGCCCCGCTAACAGCCTGGCTCCTCCTGCAGGCATCCCGGGACCTGGCGCAGATGAATGACCTCCAGGCACAGCTGGAGGAGGTCAACAAGGAGAAGCAGGAGCTGCAGGAGAAGGTGAGGAGCAAAGCTGGAGGTGGGGGGACCCAGAAACACGCTGCTTGCCCCATGGGACCCCGCAACATCCCGGGGACTATCCCAGGGGGTCCCTGGATCTCTCCGTGGGGATGGCGGGGGGGGGAAGGCACAGGAGGAGCTGGCACTGAGGCTGCCTGCCCGCAGCTACAAGCGCTGCAGAGCCAGCTGGAGTTCCTCGAGCAGTCCATGGTGGACAAGTCGCTGGTGAGCCGGCAGGAGGCCAAGATCCGCGAGCTGGAGACCAGGCTGGAGTTCGAGCGGACGCAAGTCAAGCGCCTGGAGGTAGGCGCAGGCACCCCCCTAACAGGCTCAGGCTGGGTCCGACACCCCCCCAGTCCCCACAGAACCACCACGGCGAGGTGACCAAGGCACAAAGCAGCCCAGGGGTCCCCTGGGGACATCCCCGGTGTCCCCATCCCCGGACCCCCCACACCGCCACGGTGCCGCCGGCCCCACCGGGGAAGCTCCCGCGGGCGCTGATAACCGTAATCCGCCACCCGGCCCGGCAAAGTGCTGCTATTTCCCTGCATCGACTAAGTGAAATTATAGACTCTCCCGGCCCTGCTAAACGCAGCCTGCTTTATATTCTGCCTCTGCAGCTCTCTGCCGAGGGAGCTGAGCAGCTTAGCTCTCCTCTTAATATTTTCCTAGCTGTTATTTCCCTTCCCGCTCTCTCTGCCGGGGCCATAAATATGCAGCGGCTGGCTCAGCGGCTGCTGGAGAATGGAAGCTATTTTTTCCCTACATTACATGCTGTAATTACTTCACACAAAGTTAAATCTATTTTTCCAATTCACCAAAGCCCTTGCAATTGTTCTACCCCTTCCCTGGCCTGGGGGGGTGTGTGTGTGTGTGGGGGGGGTTCTCCCTGGTGATGCCGCTCTTCCTCCCGCCTCCTTCCCTCATGTAAATTCATGGGGACGGAATCTGGACGAGCCCTCGGGGAGGGTGGCGCAGCACCCATAACCACAGCAGGTTGGGGGGGGATTGATGCGATTTGGGGGTGCCCGGGGGGGGGCCAGGGCATCGGGGTGCCCCCAAAGCCACACGGATGCCCCCGCAGAGCCTGGCCACGAGGCTGAAGGAGAACATGGAGAAGCTGACGGAGGAGAGGGACCAGCGGGCGGCCGCTGAGAACCGGGAGAAGGAGCAGAACAAGCGGCTGCAGCGGCAGCTCCGCGACGTCAAGGAGGAGATGGGCGAGCTGGCCAAGAAGGAGGCGGAGGCCAGCCGCAAGAAGCACGAGCTGGTGAGGGCATCGCTCCGGAGCACCCCCAAAAAAAGGGGCTGCGAGGGCAGTGGGGTCCCTGTGCCCCACGCCCCCGATGCTCACCCCGCACCGTCCCCGCAGGAGATGGACCTGGAGAGCCTGGAAGCCGCCAACCAGAGCCTGCAGTCGGACCTGAAGCTGGCCTTCAAGCGCATCGGGGACCTGCAGGCTGCCATCGAGGACGAGATGGAGAGCGACAGCAACGAGGACCTCATCAACAGGTGAGCGCGCCCCGCGCATGGATCCCGCATGGGGCACCTCACCCGGGCTCACCGCTTCTCCTCGCCACTTTGGAAACGCCACGGGGGGTGGGGGGGGGACACCTCGGCTGTGCCCAGCCTTGGCAGGGCGCTGTCCATCCATCTGTCCATCCGTCCGTCCATCCATCCATCCGTGCATTGCTGCACGCGTGCATCTGGCCACCCGTGCATCCATCCATCCATCCATCCATCCATCCATCCATCCATCCATCCATCCATCCATCCATCCACCCACCCACCCACCCACCCACGGACCCACCCACGGACCCACCCACGCAGCCCCCCACGCAGCCCCACACCCGGCCATCCCCCCCCCTTCCACCCGCAGCCCCCCTGCAGCTTGCGGAGGTGCCCAGAGCACGGCCGTGGGCGTTACGGAGCGCCCCCAGCCCCAGATTTCTGGGGTCAGCCCCAGGACCCCCAGGGCGCAGGAGGCTCAGGGCGCTGGGATCCAGCCCAGCCCAGCCCTGCAGAAGGGGTCAGAGCAGCCAAATCCCCCCCCCATCCCACCCCCCCTTTTGATTTACTCCCTTTTCATCCCCCCCCTCCACTTGGTTTCTTTCTTTTATTATTATTTTAAATTCCGTTTGAGTTCATTCTGTTATGTTTCTCCCTCCCCACCCCCTCCCAGTTTGCAGGACATGGTGGCAAAGTATCAGAAAAGAAAGAGTAAACTGTGAGGACCTCCTCTTTCCTTCTCCCCCCCCCCCAATCCCCATCCCCATCCCCTAACCAGAGCTCACCCCCCCGGGGCCGGGGCCCCCGCATGCCACTGGCCCAGCTCCGCATGCAGCTAACAGCACCCGCGGCCTCACCGCCTGCCCCTAACCGCCTCCGCGGGGCCGGGGACGGATCCTGCCACGCCACCGGGCACCGGGAGGGCACAAAGCAGCTCCGGGACCCGCCGGAGCCCCGCTGTCACCCGCAATTAATGTCCCGCGCCACCCGGGCTGCCTCGTGCGCTCCCCCGCGACGCGGGTCCCGGTTAACTAATGGCACTCTCCTCCGGACATAAATTGCGTTTGACGGCGAGTTTAATTCCTCCGATTTAAAACCTCGGCTGCCCCCTGAGTTTGTTTATGGGGCTTGTGTTTTTATTAGTTTGTTCCTTCTTTTTTTTATTTTTTTTCCTTCTTTTTTATTTTTTTCCCTTCTTTTTTATTTTTTTCCTTCCTTTTTATTTTTTTTTGCCTTCTTTTTTATTTTTTTCCTTCCTTTTTTATTTATTTATTTTTTTTTAAAGCCGAGCGTTGCCTGGATATATTGCAGGGGAGGGAGCGGCGTGTGATGAAGTGCAGCTCGTTGCTTTGAATGTAACGAGGAGGATTCATACGCAGGGTCTATAATAGCCTGTCCCGTCCCCCCCCCTCCGTGCCGGTCCCCGGGCAGGGACTGAGCCCAAGGCCGTGTGGATAAAGCACCCGTTTAGGATGAAATTATCCATCCCCGTGCCGGCCAGCAGCAGGGAGCCCGGCGGGGTCGGGGGGGGACACGAGGCTTCGATTTCCTCCCGGGCGCCGCGATAACCCTAATGAAAGCAGTGAGCGGTTGGGTATTAGCGGAGATTTATGCAGGGATGCTTTTAACGCGGAGCAATGGATTTTTGCGACGCGCCCGGCACCTTCTTTCCAAAGGCAATCAATATGGTTATGAACGGCCATTATAAATTAGATGTTTTAAGCCAGATAGGGCTTTTTTTATGCCTGGGTGTAAATCAGGGGTTCTCCGTCACGGCGGGGCCGTAAATCTGCCCGCCGCGCTCGTGCGCCCGCCTTGCCGGAGTCATTTCAGCTCTGCCTGCTAAACTCCTGTTTACCCAGAGACATCAACGTGCCTCTTCCCCGCTGTAATTCTGCGCCTGACGGCGGCCTATAAAACGAACCCACTTATTTCCTCCCCGGCCCCGTGCTCTCGGCGAGCCCGAAATCCACCCCCCCAGGTTTCTGGAGCCGTGCCCCGCGTGGTTCCTCTCGCTCCCCCTGCGCCTTGTCGGTATTTTTCCAGCCACGTCGCCGTGCGCAGCCAGGGCTCTCCTGCTGCTGCAGCGAGAAGCGCCGCGTGCCCGGGGCAGCCTCCTGTCCAGCATCCTCGCGTCCTCCTGGGGGGGCTTTTTGGGGGTCTTGGGGGGGGTCGTGGCACGGCTGTGCCTCGGGGAGCCTGAAGCATGCGGGTTTGTGCCCCCGAGACGGAGCAGGATGGAGCAGGATGGGTGCCAGGAGGTGGCCACGCCGGGTGCACGGTGGCACCTCCCTGGCACCCGGTGCCCCCCCGCTCACCGTGGGGCTTTCTCCCTCTGCCAGCGACGGCGACTCGGACGTGGACTCGGAGCTGGAGGACCGCGTGGATGGGGTCAAGTCGTGGCTGTCCAAGAACAAAGGCTCCTCCAAAGCGCTCTCGGATGACGGCAGCCTGAAGAGCAGCAGGTGGGTGCAGGTCGGGGGGTCAGCGTGCAGGAGAGGACGGGGATGGCCAACGAGGGGCCGGGGCGAGGGATGGACATCACCCATGGGTGCTGCATGATGCTCGTGTGGTTTTCTGGGGCAAACGCTGGTGAGAGGCTCAGTCTCTGCTGGGGACACAGGTGCCCAGGTGCTGGCACGTCCCCAGCTCCCCACATCCTTTTTGGGGACCTCCCTGGTCCCCCAGCATCCCAGCCGCAGCCCCCTCCCCTGCCTCCCCGTGCGGGTACCTGTGGTGGGCTCCTGCCCCCACAACCCCTTCCCATCCTCCCCTTTTTCACAGCTCCTCCATCTCACACCCGTCCCTGGCTCATCAGCCAGCCTCACGCCCCCCAGCTGTCCCCGAGGGGGGACACGTGGCCCTGCTCACGTCCCCCTGCTGCGGCGGTCAGGGCCGATCCCCGGGGAGCGCGCTCGCCTGATGAGTGCAGATTGCTTTCATCCAAACCCAATTTCCTGGCAGGGCTTCGGGAGTCCCGGGGGGCTCCCCCCCTCCTTCTGCCGAGCAGGGGGGAAAGATCTGAGCCAGTTTTTCTTAATTGGTTTAATTTATTCAGCGGTGCAGATGTAAAACATTTTGTTATTGGAGATAATTCCACCTTTTTCTGAAGTCGGGAATCAAACGCGGCGGCTCCAGGTAGCTGACAATGAAATAAATTGAACGCAGCACTTTAAAGGGGAATCAAAGTGACGGGCTAGAACAATACCCTAATTTGCATGGCGTTTTCCATGAAGCTGTTTTCCGCTGACGCAAATTATTTAGCCTGCCTCACCGCACGCTGCCTCCCCCCCACCAAGCTCACCTCCTTTCTCTCTTCCCTCCCCGGCGCGCGCCCGCTGCCCCCCTGCCCAGATCGGCCCCCGCGGACGGCCCGGAGGCCGAGGAGCGGCCGGTGTCGGTGGCGAGCAGCCTGAGCTATAGGAAACGGCCCAGCCTCAAGGACTCCATAGGTGGCCGCGGGGACGAGCAGACCCTTTTCAGCGCGCTGAGCGAGCGGCCCGAGTCCCCCGAGCGCGCTGCCCGCAGGGTGGCCCGCGGCGCCGAGCACGAGGACCGGGCGGCCGTCATCGCCCGCGCCTTCGCCGACGCCAGCGGCCGGGCTCGGCAAGGGCTGGGCAAGCGGTGGTCCCTCTCGGCTAACACCGAGGGTGACAAAGCCTCCGTCGCCTCCGCCCCGGTGAGCCGGGCCTCCTCGGCCTCCTGGCGCGGGCCGGAGGATGGGGACGAAGGGGACGAGGGCTGCTCGGTGCTGAGCTTCGCCCTCTCCAGCCCCGGCAGCCTGCGGAGCCGCCGCAGTGGGGTGGATGGACGCCCCGAATCGCGGCTTTCCCTCGCACGCAGCCGCCTGGATGAGGCGGACGAGGTGTCCCGGGGGCAGCCGCCGTTGGGGCGCAGCTTCTCCGTGCCCCCCCGGCCCCGCAGCGCCGCCTCCGAGGATGGGCCCCCCGGGGATGCCCGCCCGGTGGGGCACCGCTCCTACCTCGACCCCGACCTGGAGGCTGCCATCCAGGAGGTGCTGAGCTATCGCTCGCCGCGGGCCGGGGGCTTTTCCAGCCCCGAGGCCGACTCGGGGGATGACGGCCGCAGCGTGCGCAGCGTGAAAAGCGCGGCCCCCCTGGGCGCCGCCGACCGAAACCCCGGCAGCCTCCGCCGCTCCGCATCCGCCCTCGAAGTGTCCCGGTCGTCCCGGCACGCCAGCAGGCACCGGAGCAGCTCTTCCTCGGAGTCCTCCTCCTCCTCGGAGGAAGAGGAGGAGAAGAAGAAGAAGAGCTCCAAGAAGCGCTCCAAGAAGTCCAAGAAGAAATCCAAGAAGAAGAAGAAGAAGGCGTCCTCCGAATCGGGCTCCTCCTCTGATTCCTCCTCCGATTCCTCCTCCGGCTCCTACCGGAGCACGTCCAGCGTCAAGAAGGGCCCGCGGGCGGCGGGGGGGGGAGGCGAGGAGCCGGCGCGCCCCAGCCGGGGCAAAAAGGAGGAGAAGCAGCGCAAGAAGCAGGTGGACAGCCTGATGATGAAGTACCTGTACCGCCCCGAGAGCGACTGAGGCAGGAGGTGGGAGCGGTGTGTGCAGTGCAGCATGAACCTCCCCGTGTGCCACTAACCGCTCGCCCTAACCCTCGCCCGGCCCCAGATGGTTCTGGGGACCCCCCCGAAGCAGCATCCCTGCTGGGACCCTCCTCGTGTTCAGCCGACGCACCGGGATGACGCCGGGGAGCCCTAAATCCCCTGCCGGCTCCCCGCCGACACCGTGGGGAGTTCTCCAGGAAATTTGGGGTGGGCAGGTGGGGGCCGCAGCCCTCCCCGTGGTACCCGGGTACTAACACGCACCCGCTGCAGTGTGTGGATGTGGGGGGGACGCGGGTGAGTGGCCGGGGTGGGCGGCTGTGCCTTGGGTGTGTGGGGGTCCTCCGGGGCCGTATCCTGCACCCTGTCCACCCCGGAGCATGGGGGTGCAATTGATTTCGTCCTGGGGTGCTGCACCCCAGAGGGAAGGGTGCCGGGGGCTCACCACCCAGCCCAGCAGCAAGTTTTGAGCGGGTTCAATCCTTTCCTACGGCTTGGACAGGAGAAGGGCTGGAGGAGGAGGACAGAAAGCCTTCAGAAAGTTGTTGGATCGCTGCCCAAGGCTGTCCCCCTGCCCGGGGCTGTCCCCAAGGGGCTGGGGGCACAGCTCCAGAGTCAGCGGGTGCAGCCCAGCACCTCTTTGAGCCCAAACCCGGTGTTTTTAGGACGTGGGGTTGTGCACGTGGGGTCCCAACAACTGGGCACGCAGAGCGAGCAGGCGATGGCAGTGCCCAAATCTCTCAGAAATAACAAAAAAAAATAGACCAAGGCAGCCCCGTTGCAGAGGGGCAGTGGTCTGACAGCTGCCCCGTCCCCCCCTAACCCCTTTTTTCTCCCCCCCAGCCCCACGGGCTGCCGGAGATCCTTCACCTACGACCGATGGGACGAGGACCTGGACGCCACGGAAGGTGCTGAGCGCTCGTCCCGCAGCCCCACCAGCGACGGCGAGACGGAGAGCCGGGCCGCCAAGACCCCCGCGTAGCCCCCGCCGCCCTTCCCCTCACGGCCCCGAAATACTGGGCCCCACGGGCTCCTCGGGGCCCCCCCGGGCAGCCGGTATTTCTGTTTTTTTTTTTTTGCACGGTGAGGGGGGAGGACACAGACAGGGGGGGTCCCGGCTCTCTCCACGGGGGGAGCAGCCCGGCCGGCTCGCTGGCTGCAGCCCCCATGCCCCCCTCCCTCTGTCCCCGGCGGCTCCGCGCCCCTCGGTCTCTTCCTCAGTGCCTGCTGTCTCTTTATTTTGTAACTTAAAATCCCCCCACCCAAAAAAAACACCTCCAGCAGCCCCCCCCCCCGGGCACTCCCCGTGCTCCCCATCCCCGTTTAGTTGAGCCAAAGACGTCTCCGGCCGGGCCCCCGGGAGCAGCCGCCCCGCAGCCGGGAAGGGGACGTGGGGACGGGGTCCCGTGCGCCCCCCTCCCCCCCAGGGCTGTGTGTGTCCCCCCCACCCTCACCGGCCCCCCCACTCCACCTCTTTTGGTTTGCACTAGCCCAGCTGTGCGTCCTTTCTCAGCCCCTTCCTTTCTGTATGAAAATAAACGTCATTTCTGGCTGGTGATGCCGCCTCCTGCCTGCTCTGTGTCCCGGGGGGTCACCCCTTTTTTTTGGGGGGGGGGGGGTGAGGATGGGTTTGTGGGGTGCAGCGGGACACCTCCTGCTCGGGGTGCACGGACAGGATGAGCCCAGCGCCTTCCCCGAGCCCACCCCACCCACGGGTGCTGGGGAAGGGGAGGTGGGAGACGGCCCCCGCAGGGTGCCGGGTGCCGACTCGTTTATCAATCTTCATAAATATGCAGATGAGCGGCGGAGATGGGAGCCCTCCGCCTGCCGCTGTTAATTATTTAACGAGGAGGAGACGGCGATGTGCGCCGCTGGCCGCCTGCGCTGGGCTTCAGCACAGGCACCCACCGGGTGCTGCCCCCCAAAACCCCCCACCCCAGGAGCTCCCTGCACCCTGGGGACCCCTGGGAACCCCTGGCACCCTTGGGACCCCCCCAGACCATCCCGTTCTGCCCCCCCCAGCATCTCTTCGAAACAAATGGGCCGAGCTCGGCGCTCGCTGCTGTTACAGCCACGCTGCGCTAATGCGCTTTCATTAAGTGGGAGCGATCTAATGATAATAAAATGGCACATTTAACATTAAAACATTTAACTTGACTCCTAAGTGAGTGTGTCTCGCCGCGCTCTTCCAGCTCCGTCAGGCTGACAAAGCTCCCGGGGAACGGGCGCTTGGCAGAGCTGGGCTGGCACGCGTGGCATGGGGGGTGCAGGGAGGCAGGGACCGGGATATAGGGACACGGGGGTGTAGGGCACCAGGATATAGGGACACTGGGAGGCAGGGACCAGGATATAGGGATGCTAGGATGCAGGGGATCAGGATATAAGGACACTGGGGTGAAGGGGACCAGGATATAGGGATACTAGGATGCAGGGGATCGGGATATAGGGACACTGGGAGGCAGGGAACAGTATATCGTGATGCTGGGGTGCAGGGTACCAGGATATAGGGTCACTGGGATGCAGAGGACCAGAAAGCTGGGGTGTGGGGCTGCTGGAACAGAGGGGTGCTGGGCAGTGGGGCATGGGGATGTGGGGATGTAGGGTATCGGGATTCCAGGCTTTGAGGATGCCGGGATGCAGGGAGCTGGAGGTGGTGGCATTTTGGGGTGCAGGGATACGCACAGCAGGGCGCAAGCACCTACAGCGCAGCCCGGAGCGCACCGGGGAAGCGGCTGATGGCGAAGGGGGCCGTGCTGTGGGACGGCTCCTCGCCCAGGCTCAGCTCGCACAGCAGCTTCCCCACCACCGGCGCCAGTTTGAACCCGTGGCCTGCGGGGAGGAGAAGTTGGGGGGGACACGGCCGTGCCCAGGGTGCCACAGGGGGGGGCTGGGTGCCCCTCACCTACCCGAGAAGCCGGCCCCGATGACGATGTTGCTGTGCTTGGGGTGCCGGTCCAGGATGAAGTCTCCATCTGGGGTGTTCTGTGGGGTCACAGGGTGAGAAAGCGGGGCTGGGGGCTGCACCCCACGGGCACAGGGAGGGCACCGGGGGCGTTTCTTGGCCCCGTGGCCGGGGACAGAGGGGGCAGCGAGGTCTCACCGTGTACATGCAGGTCTCCAGCACCGCCGGCTGCGGCTCCAGCCCGGGCAGGTAGCTGCTGATGAAGCTGCTCAGGAGGGCGACGTCGGGGTGGGGAGCACCCGGGGGGGCCCGGTCCCGATCCTCGGGGTCAACGGGGCTGCCGTGGTGGTAGCACACCTGGGGACAGCCGCTCAGTGGGGACAAACAGGGGGGGAAAACGCGGTGCCCCCACCACCGTGCCCCGCTCACCTTGACCAGCCCGGGGTACTCGAGGGCGGGCAGCCCGTAGATGCCATGGGGAGCCTCGGGCAGCCCCAAAGCCATGAAGCAGGGGGTGGCCGTGCCTGCGCTGTAGCTGCCGGGCTCCTTCTCCCTCCAGTAGCACACGTCGATGCGCAGGGGCTGCGGGGGGGGGACACCGGGTCAGCCGTGCCCACGGCCACGCCGCCCCGCGGTGCCACCAAATCTCACCTGCAGCGGCAGGCGGAGGCCCAACGGTGCCAGCACGGCACTGGTCCAGGCTCCAGCCGCGATGATGAGCCGGGGGGCTCGGTACACCCCACCGGTGGTGGTGACGGTGAGCACAGCACCGGGCTGGATGCTCAGCACCTTCTCCCCGTCGCGCAGCGTGCCCCCGTGCCGGCGAAACACCTCCTGGGTGCGGGCAGAGGGAGGTGGCTGCGGGGATGGAGATGGGGACACCCACCCTTGTCCCCCGTCCCCGTCCCCCAAGGTGGCACCCACCTGCACCGCCCGCAGCGCCCGGTCTGCCCGGAGCACCCCGCCGCTGCCGTCCCACAGGGCCACGTCCCCGGCGCGGGGCCGGAGGCCGGGGAAGCGCCGTGCCAGCGCCGCGGCATCGAGGGTGTCACCGGGCCCCGCGCCGCGCCGGCAGCCCTCCAGCTCCGGGTCACCCGCCGGCCCCAGCACCACCAGCCCCGTCCGCCTGCGTCCCCACCACCACGGTGACATTGGGGACAACGGATGGCACCGTTAGCCGCTTATTTCCTTAACGGCTCCTCCTTTAGGGAGCCCCAGAAATTAGCCGGAGCCGCGGGCTGCCTCCCCGCACAGCGCCGGACCCCTCGCCACCCCCAGCCCGGTTCCCCAGGGAGGGGACAGCGCCCGGCGTGGGGGCTCTGTCCTCGTCCCCGTCACCTGTAGAGGCTGGTGCCGGCCTCAGCCTCCAGCCTCTGCCAGAGGAGGAAGCTGTCGGGCATCATGCGGGCGTAGTGCGCCTGCGGGTAGGCGCTGCGGGTGATGCGGCTCTGCCCGTGCGAGCTGCCCCGAGAGTGGGGCAGGACAAACTGTGGGGCATGGGGACATCGGGGTGACCACGGCTGCAGGGTGTCCCCGAGCCCCAGCAGGTAGCGGGGTGCGCAGCCCACCCTGATGGACACTGCTCTGAGAAACAGTGGGGCTGGGGGGTGGCACTGGGGACACGGGGGGACTGGAACTGGGGATTTGGGGGTGCTGGTATTGGGGACATTGGGGGGTCTGGCACTGGGGATATGGGCGTCTTGGTACTGGGGACACTGGGGGCCTGTTGCTGGGAACACTGGGGGCCTGTTACTGGGGACACAGGGGTCCTGGTACTGGGAATACGGGGGTCTTGGCACTGGGGACATGGGGATCATGGCACTGGGGATATGGGAGTCCTGGTATGGGGAACATGGGGGTCTTGGCATTGGGGACACCGGGGTCCTGGCACTGGGGACACTGGGGTCGTGCCACCAGCACACCCTGGCTCTGTGCCATGCGCACGGCACGGGGCCGGGCACAGTGCAGCCAGGTTCCCGTCCCCATGCGGTGGGGTTGGGGACACGGCGGGGTTGGGGACGCCAGTACCTGCTCCAGCAGCAGTGTGTCCCGGTGCCGCTGCGCCAGGTGGTAGGCGGCGAAGGAGCCCTGGATGCCAGCCCCGATGACGATGGCATCATAGGACGCCCGCTGGGGCTGGCTCAGGGCAGCCATGTCCGTCCTCGTCCCCGTCCCCTGTCCCTGTCCCCGTTCCCCTCGAGCCGCCAGGAGCCGAGCCAAGGGGAGGGCCGGGGCAGAGTCCGGCCGGGTGGAGCTGGCAGCAGAGCCTTGGCCACCCTCCAGCCTGCAGCGGGAGCACGTGGGGACACGCTGGGGACAGCTCCTGCCTCTCCCCATCCCCAGAGCCCCCCCAATTCCCCACCAACACCAGCACAGCCCCTGCTCCCTGTGCCACCCCTACACCACTGCCACCCCGCTGCCACCCGCTGGCACCGCAGGGACCCGTCACCCCCTGCCCGACCTGCACCCAAGGGTGCTGCTGGGTGCCCCGGAGGCAGCCAGGAGAGATCGGAGCGAGTGGGCAGCATAAACACGATGGAAAATTGTTTTTCATAACCCCCCTGCTCCCTCCCCACTGGTTTGTGCTCTAGGGACGAGGGGCTGGCCATACCCCGGCCGCGCACCGAGGGGCCATTTGTGTGCAGATTGCAGCCCGCGCCGTTTGTTTCAGGGGAAACATTTTTTTCCTCCGGAGCAATTTATTATATCCATAAACTACTGGGTTGCCATCTCCGTTTTTTTTTTTCTCCCCCTCTGCCAGCAGATAGCCGTGATTTAGGGCCCGCCGGGCGGTGGGTGCACGGCCAGGCACCCGCATCGCCCCGCTGCCCGCGGTGCATTTTGCAAGCGTGCAGATTTGGGGTGCGATTTGGGATGCGGGGACACACGGGGGGGGGCACCACAGGGGGGATAATTCAGGCAGGGGCTGCGCTGAGCCCCCCCAGCTTGTGCTCCCTGCCTGCTAACTCGGGGAAGTAATTTACTCGGGCTCCCGTGGTATAACAGGCATTATTTACCAGCGAGCTGTCATTATTAGGAGATGTTAAACGCCGTTATCCATTTTGCTGCCCGCCTGCTCACCTCCTGGTGAGCACACGGCGGGCTCGGCACCAGGCGGGTGCCCGGGGGCTGCGCGCAGCGTGGGGCCCCATTACAGGCGGCGCCGCCGCCCCCTCGCCTTTGATGCTGCGAATAAATTCACCAATTTCCCAGGGTTTCAGCTCGCTTTTCCGCCGGCGCCCAGCCTTTGAACAGCCCGTACCTGCTTCTGCTTTTCGCCGGGAACATGAAGAATAATTAATTATCCATGAAATGTTAAATGGCAAAAACGAACTCCTCTCCCACTAACGGCGCCGTAATGGATCGCGCTGGAAAAGCCCGGGGAGGCCACCACGGCCGTGGGGACAGCCGGGGACACCCGCCAGGGCACGCACCCCAAAGCAGCCACATCTTCCCGTGCTTTTGGGGACCCCCCCCTGCACCTCCAGCCCCGCATCGGTGGCAGCAGGACGTGGCTGGAGGGGGCAGAGCCCTTCCCGTGCCCTGCCACCGGCCTCTTGACCTGGGTTTAACGTAACCACAGGCGATGCTCACGGCAGCAAGAAATCAGCTCCCCAAAGGAGCCGGCGCAGGTCAGGAGAGCGGTGCCAGGCCGCGGGGTAAGAATGAAATATTCCCTGCCGAAACTGCCTGGATCGGGGCTGGAGGGATTGGGAATGAGGAGGTGCAGCCAGGGCCCGGTGGGGCTCGGCACTGGCTCGCTGCGCCCACTGCACGCTGGAGTTTCCCCAGGGCCACCAGCACCCACGCAACGCTCCCTGCCGGGCTGTGCCACCCTCAGCACCCAGCCCTACAAAATCCCTAGAGAAATTCCCCGAGGAGCTCCAGGAGCTGAGGCGTGCGGGGTTCGGGCTGCTCTCGCCCTCCTTTGCCTCTCCCCGTCCCGTGCCACCCGCGCCGCCCCGAAGGCTCCGAAGGCATCCGCACGGCGCTTGTTTGCTTTGTCTCAAAATCCACAGCCGTTTAAGGCAGCCCCTCATTAGCAGTCCAGGTGCGTGCCGGGGGAAGCGTCGGGCGGATTAAAATTTGTTTGAATATCGGCACGTCAGAAACTTCAGTTTGGCCTCAAAACGCCCGTCTCCCCAGCCCCGCCGGGGTTCGGCACATGGCACATCGATGGAGCCGCCGGCGGATCAAATGCTGGGGTTCGGCACATGGCAGGTGTGCCAGGTCCCTGCACAGCTCCACCAAGGGACCCCCCCACACCGAACCAGGCCGTGGGTCCCCGTGGCAGGGCCAGGCTCCCCCCCGGTGCCGTGGGTGGGATTGAAGCCCCCCCCCAGGATGCCCCAAGAGCCGCGTTTGTCCCCAGCCCCATCTTTTTGGGGGTGCGGGGGCTGCGCACGGCGCGGCGTCACCAAGGCGAAGCCATCTGGGCTTTCACGGAGACGTGGGGGGCGGGGGGGGGGGGGGTTTATTAAACAAAGAGCCCTTTTTTTTTTTTCTCTTTTCTCTCCTTTTTTTTTTATTATTATTTTTAACACAACGCAGGAGCCGTCCAGCAGCCAGCACCGAGCAGCTCTGCGCTGGTGCCAACGCCATCTGCCTGCTGCAAGGATGGCTTCCCCCCCACACTGCCAAGCCCCCCGGGGGCCGTGCTGCTGATGGGGGGGGGCTGCAGCCCGAGGGAGGGGTCCTGGGGGGGGCAGAATTCGGCCCCTGGATGGGGGGGAGGAATGAAATGGGGGTGGGAGGGATGGGGAGGATGGTGCCCAGCTGTGCGAGCTGCCATCGCCCCCAGGTTTTGCTGCTTGGGCTGTGATGAGCCCGGCCCTAATTGGGGCTATTTAGGGGTGGGGGAGGAAGGGGGGGGGTGTGCAAGGTTGGGATGGGGTGGGGGTCGTTGGGGGGGGGGGAGGGAAAAGAAAAAAAAAAAACACAAAAAACAGAGGATGCGATGCGCAGCTCTGCCTTTCCCCCTCTCCATCCACAGCCCTCAATAGCTCCACCCCACCAACATGGGGTGTGGGGGGGGCACTGGGCTTTATTATTCTATTTTTTTTTTTTTTTTGGGGGGGGGGGTGCCCCCCTCCCCCAGCCTCCCTCTCCCAGCATCACGGCGCTGGGCGGGGAGGAGGAGGCGGTGGTGGCGAAGGGAAGGAAGGGAAGGGGGGGGGCGCAGGGAGGAGCCCCCCCTTTCGCAGCCCGCAGGATTGGCGGGCGCCGCACTCGGGGCGTTGGGAGGGGAGGGGATGGGTGGTGGTGATGGAGGGGGGGGGAGGTTCCCGTTGCCCCCCCCCCCGCCCGCAGCGCGGAGCTGTCCGCGGTGCTGCCGCCGCCGGCCATGGGCGCGCTGCTGCTGCTGCTGCCGCCGCTGCTCGCCGCGCTGCTCCGCGCCCCCGCGCACGGTAAGAGACCCCCCCCCCCCCATTTTACATTTTACCACCCCCCCCCTTTCATTTTACGACCCCCCCGTACCCATTCTGCACCCCCCCGTGCCGGTGGCCCCGCTCCAAACTTTGCCAACTTGAGCCCCCCCCTCCCCATCTCCTCTCCAGCCTCCCCCTCTATGCGCCCCCCCCACCAAACGCTAATCTTGTGTCCCCCCCCCCCTTCCCCAAAAAAATATCCCCCGGTGGGGCTTTGCAGCCTGCAACGCCGCCCCCGGTGGGCTCCGGTGGCACCCTCCTTTTACCGGGGTGTGAAATGTGGGGGGGGTACATGGATACACGGAGCACGGTTTGGCACCGCCCGGGGGGGACCCGCTCCTCGCAGCTCCCCCCCCCCCCTACGGGCAGGCTACGCCCCATTGGGGTCTGCTCCCTCCGTGCAGACCCCGCTGTGGGGCTGGGGGAGGATGTGGGGGGGTGTTGGAGGGGGGGCTTTTTGGTTGCTGCATCGCTTGGGGTGACCCCGAGGTGCGGGGAGGGCGGTGGGGAAGGGTAGGGGGTGGCTTTTCCCAGGGGGGGGCACCACCACCTGCATCCCCCCCCCCACCTCACCAGCCCTAAAACCCCCCATGGGTGCGGGCACCTTCACCACCATGCAGCTCAGCAGCCCCCCACCCCCAAAAAAATAAAAAATAGGGGAGCTGGAAAGCTTTGGGGTGCCCTGATCCGGCACGGCGCAAGCGATGGGGGTCTGGTGAGGGGGTCTGTCCCCAAGGGGGGGTCTGTCCCCTGTTGGGGGGCACATCCCCGTGGGGTGCAGGCTGCGTGGAGGAGCCAGCCGCAGGGAGCAGCCGTGCGGGGAGTTACATAAACTCCCATCTGGCCGCCGAGCCCAGCCGGGAAGGACGCCGTGGCCCCGTGCCCGCTGCTATTCCCGGCTCGCCAAACCACCCCAAAGCTGCTGGCCTGGCCCCATTCCTCTTGGGGATGTATGGGGACCCCCCCGTGGGGTGAAAATTGGGGTGAGGCTGCAGGGGAGCCCTGTCCTGCTGTGGGGGGGGCTGCAGGGATGCAGGGGGGTCGCAGTCCCTAGTTCTGTTTTGGGTGGTTCTGTCCTAGGAGAGGGGGCCCTGGGTAGGGCAGGATTTCCCCGGAGGGAGGCTGGTGCTTGCCGTGTCAGTTTAATGATTTCTAATGAGCAATTACCTCCAGTCAGTCCCCTAATTTCTGAATATCAATAAAGTTAATTAAACTCCGCATGTGTATTTCCCCGAGCCGTAGAGGTAGGGATGCCCTGGGAGGTGCTGAGCTCTTCCCGGGGCTGGGAGCGGCGGGGTCCCATCCGCCCTGTGCCCCCCTTCGATGTGGTGTCGGGGCTGGGGGCTGCCTGTGGGGTCAGCCCCCCCAAAAAATCCCTGTTAGGTGGGGGTCCCAGCCTGGCACTGACTTTTGTGGCACTGCCACGCTCGGCGTGGCCTTGGCTCGGCATCGGGGCCGGTGCGTGGTGGGGACGTGGCACGGGGACAGGAGGCACGGGGATGGGGGCTTGGGGCCCTCAGCCAGGCTGGGGAGTTGGAGATGCTCTCAGGTGGTGGTGAGGAAGGGTCTGACCCTGTCCCCCTCCTGCCAGCCCCCCTGTGCTGTCCCCTCCTGGGGGCATCCCTGGCTCCCCCCTCCCCGGTGCCCACCGGGGCAGCTCCGTGGCGCTGCCGCAGCGAGCGGCTGCGGTACCAGGGCACGGCTCCATCCCGCCTTCCCCGCAGCACCCGAGCTCTGAAACCTGCTCAGCCTGGATTTTGGAGGCTTTTTTT